GGAGAAGGTGGGGGAACCAACAGAAAATTAATTTCTTCATTCTGGGTATAATTATAATCCGATCTAATTCAGATTCGGCAATCTGGTAGATATGGGCATTCTCTACGATACTGCGTTTTTAGTTATATCGTATTTTTAAAAATGTCCCTGCCACAGATTTTCGTCCTTTGTGGGGGCGGAAGGGGGCGTGGCAAATTTTTGAAATACACTTGTAGCAGTGGGATATCACATGAGCCTGGAAACCAAATTTGGTGGCCCTAGCTCGTATAGTCTTTGAGATCTAGGCGCTCGAGACAGCAGACGGACAGACAGACATGGCTATATTGACTCGGTTATTGATGCTGATCAATAATATATATACTTTATGGGGTCGGAAACGTTTCCTTCTCTGCGTTGCACACATCCACTTTTACCACAAATCTAATACGTATACCCCTTAACTCTTTTTTGAGTACGGGTATAAAGAGGGAATAAATGTAGGAACATAAAATAGACACAAAAGAACGTGGAAAACGTAATTTAACGTTTTTGATCGAAATTTGACAGGAGAGACGAAATATTCTCTGTTTTTTCAGTGTTGGATGTCGAATTAAATTTTTTTTTCATGAATGAGCATCTGGGGAATATGTAATAGCGATGTAAAAGTGATTTAAAGCCATCCTAAATACGATTTAAGCAAAAAAAAAGGTCTGGTCTACATTGGAATGTTACTTGATTCTTTTAAGCCAACTGGTTTTAAAAATGATCGGGCAGCCAACAGGATTTGAGTTAGAGAGTTTTCTGCTTCAGGTGGTTCCCCAGAAACATTATGAGTATGCATTGTGGGATTATTAATCAGCAAAGATACATACATATGAGAAAATTTACCAATCAGCATTCCAAACAGCTTCCTTCCTTCTCAGCAGCCCCTTTCGCCACTCTACAATGGCAATTAAAACTGCAAGTCTGAGAGTGCTTCTCATTAAATAATTGCGGATCGCATATCGTTTATTCCAAAAATTGGGGCAGTCTCATCGCTCCATTCAGAATTAATTTCCCCACTGCGAATGCGGATTGCGGATTGATCAGTGTCCCACATTTGCGTGACTCATGGATTTACACTCAGGTGAAACACGGTCACATTGAATATGAAGCTCTTTAGTTTGATACGACTTCGAGGCCCCCCCAATAAACACTTTGATTGCATTTTATTGTTTCTCGTTGTCGCCGGGGACAAGAAACTTCAGCAACAACCGACAGCAGAAAGAGCCAAAAACCATTGGCCATTAATGGGGCGATATTTTATTTTAGTTCGGAGCTTATCGACCGACCTTTATTTGGATATTTTTATTCGCTTGTTTGCGAACCGTTTTTAACGGTTCGGTTCCATATTTTGAGCTCAAGAAAAGGAAGAATGGGGCGAATGCCCTGGGAATGACACAGACACAGAAATTCCCCCATGATCAGGCAACTCGAAATCCCTCTGAGCAGAATTGAATATACTATGTATATGCTCTCTACGAAGAATTGGAGGGAAGGATAAACATATTGGAACTGCACTTTTTCTTGGACAGAAGCAACAAAAATCATTTCTGTAACAGTTTTTTTGTTCTCAGAATACCATTAAAATAATAAATACAATATGAGCAAAAATATGTATGTAGATGTAACCGCCAACTATAACTGAGGCTCAGGAGGTATTTATTGAAGGTAAATATATTCGCTCTCTCGGCTTAATGTTCCAAAGACAGAAACACACTCAGGCATTTGAAACACAGAAAACCACTCCTCACCTTATATTAATGTACACTCCGCTGAATTATCCATAAACAGATATCGGAATGGAAGAATCAGTCACACAGGCAACGAATTTAATCATTTTGTTATGACCGCGGGACACATTTTAATGGTGCATCGACGGGGGCGGCCAGCGGGGATGTCGACAGCAAAGTATGAGCCGAGTAGAGGTGGGCATGGAGCGTGTTTTCTTCGATGGGCAAACGTGGCTGTGTTGAAAATTTAAATTGTGTCGAAAAAGTACGACGTACAAAATCTTAAAAAGTTCAAACCCATTTTTTTGTTGCTTACTTGAATCACGACAGATCGCTTTTTAATGGAATATGTAAGGAATTAAAGTTTAAATGCGTGTTGGAAATTTAGCTTATCGTGTCGTGTTGGGTCGTGCCAAAAAATTTCAGTCCATGCCCATCTCTAGTACCGAGTACCGAGGGGCTGCTCTGGCGCACTCCATTGAACACACACACACACCCTTGCACGCAGCTGTGGGGTGGCAGCGCAACAACAAACAAATTGAGGTGGGCTCACTAAAAAAAATATATAAAAATGCCAAGAGAGATTCAAGTTGAAACTTTTTTGGGGGAAAGACAATCTCATAAACGGGAAGCAATGATAGAGAGAGAGAGAGAGGAAGAGCAGAAGAGAGGGCTGTTGTCGACGGGAGCAAAGTACAAACATGTACATAGGCATATTCAATGAAAGGTATGGTCCCGCTCTTCGGGCACTTAAACCTTATGTTAGCCACTCTCTCTCTCGATCTCTTTCTGCACAAACACATCCCCACACACCGAAAAAGCTACAAACATGTTGCTGTATTGGTGGCGATGTTTTGCTGGCGCTCATCAAAGTGTGGAGCAGTTTTGGGAACAGTCGTCGAATAGAGGCCCGCTCTATCGGAATCGGAATGTCGTACCTTATTCGTTGTATACATTTGTATACACTGGCGCTGCCATTCATTATTTTTTTAAATTTAATACCAGGCACAGCCACACACTAGCAACACTAACTCTAACACACACTCTCAGAATGATGGTGTATGGTGTGGTGAAGAGTGGAGTGTGTGTGTGGGTAGAGAAGCAAGGGGAGGAGGAATGCGAGTAAACTATAATATTGTCGCATCAACAATAGCAAATAAAACGATTTTCATACATAATTAAATTGATTAACTAACTTGAAATTATTCAAGTCGTCGTCGTCGCCGTCGATTGTTGTCGATTGTCGCAGTCGGGCGGGCTTTGAATACCAAAACAGCCTGAGCGCTGAATAGCAACAAAAGCAACAGAAACAGCAACAACGATGATCATTAACTAATCTAGAGAGCAGAAAATTGTATTAAATTAACCAACTTGAGAGGAGAGATGGGGGGTGAGAGAGCGAGGGCGAACAAAACAATTGCTGCTGACTCAATTGTAGTCACGAGACTTTCAATGCAATTAACAGACAGACAGACAGTCAGACTGAGAAATATACAAGGCGAGGGAGGGAGAGAAAGAGAACAGTAATGTCGTTGTCAACGTCAGCAGGATCCTAAGGTTTCGCTGCGAAGGAGAGGGTAAAAGGCAACTGCCAACCAACGTGGCGTGGCCATTTCACTCAGTTGTCACACTCGATAACAAAGGATACAAAAATAAGCTTAGATAGATATTTGATTAGGTTACTGCATTAGCTGTTGCGTGTACACTAAACAGGCATGTTGTCATTAAGTTGCACCTACATAGCATGTATGTACATAAGTACATACATATGTATTTAATTGCAGATATATAGATCCTTCCCATGGGCATACGATTATTTGAACTGATGGAGATGCATTTTTAAATACAGGATTATTGTCAAAACAAAGAGTGCAAGTTTAGCAATGAATTTCCATATATGTATGACAAGCTCTTTAGACTCTGTACCCCTGCTTTGGGGGTATACAAATAGAAGCTCGCCCACCCTTTTCGACACCTGCCCAGATGACACCTGTCCCCCCATACATACATACCTGAATGGAATAACATTTAATTCTATAATGAGTATTATACCGAGCAAACAAATGGCTCAGGACAGCGGAATTGGTGGAGACAGTGGAAGTGACTTCCGAAGAAGAAGATGAGAAATGAAACACATACTGAGCAAACAGCGAAAAGGTGCGCAGAAAAGGATTGGGGCCATTTACGAGTATGTGTATATTTGTTTTTTTTTTTATTTGTATTTGTATGGGTAGCAACAATTATTATTTATGTTGTTATGGCTTTTGTTGTTGTTGTTGTTGTTGCCACGTGTACCACTGAACATTGGAATTGAGAGAAACAAACAGAGGCAGAAGCCCAATGAACCCTTGTTCACTGTTTGCCTTGACGGGTTAACATTGAGTACTGGCTAAACTAAGCAGCAGCTGACTTGCTTACAATTAGCCAAAAGTCTACTATGTACACAAATATCATTGCGCATCATTGGGAGTTGTTTTTTTATTTTTATTTTAAACTTTTAAAATTCTTAGCTTTGCGTTTGAGCCATATATATAGTATCTTAAATGAAAAACGTTGGGAGCCGCGGAATACGTGCTCCAACATTATATTACCCGTTACTTAGTTTCTGTATATGATAAACACATAACACATTTACACGAATTATATACATATATACCACTGTACTCTTTGAGATGTTGCCTCGTTTAGACAGTACTCACAGCATATAAAGTGTGCGTGTTTGCATGTGTCTTTTTGTATGCTGACATATACATACATATCTATGTATGGATGTTTTTATGAATGTACACACATACTCATATTGTGTGCATGTGTGTTGCGTACACGTGCGTTTCGCCTCTCAATGTCGCAATGTTTGTGGGGGCAAACAATCAAATGCTTTCGTTCGATTCATTGTTACCTATCGAAAAGAGGGGCAGGTTAGGTGGAGGTAAATTGAAATCAATCAAACAGACATTTTCATATAAAGCAGATCAGATGATATGGATGGTTGTACATAAGTACATACATATGTAAATATGTAAGTATTATCAGACAACTTGTAGCTTTCGGGCTGGAGGTATATTTTTGTTTGTACACGTCCACTATTTTAGAGCTAAATATACAAAAAAAAAGCCAATAAAGAATAGAAAATATATAAATATATGTGTAAGTACCTTAAAGGTACAAACAAACGCACACACATACAGATGTAATATCTACACAATTTAGTAAGCCGAAAAGATACATGGGAGGATAGGAGGCACAAACCTGTTCCGCGAGCGGCATACGATGTGGTCGTTTGCATTGAGGATGAACTGGATCCCGCCACAGAGCCCGGTCCAGCATTGCCAGCTCCACTGGTTTTTGTGAATTTTAAAAGCATACTTTTTATTTTGATTGTTGTTATTTGGAGGAAGAGCAAGTTTTCGTCTTGTCACTACTCGTAGGCTAACGGTAACAGACACTGTCGCCACCGCCAAGTGGAAGCCAAATCGAAATTAAGGTACTACGTAGAAGCGCCTGTGGCCTGCGTCAACGATGGCGCAGGGTTCGTCTATTTGTTGCTATTTTTAGCAACAACAATTTTGGTTTTCTCTCTCTCTCTCTGGTGCTTGAGGTTTCTTCTTCGTCACTGCCGCCTCCTCCTTCTACTCCTGCCTGCTGATACTACGATTCCTTGAGCTGCCCCTGACGCAAAATTGGTCGTCGGCCCGGGCCCGCGTTTTGTTTTATCAATTGTACTATTACAGGCTTGGTTGGCTCCTCTCCTTCTCGCACATTTACTCACTCACACTTGCAACAATCACTGAGTTTCCCGTTTCTCTGCACGAATGTGTGCCTACACATACAATGTCTCTCCGTATGTTCGTGTATGTATGTGCATATGTATGAGTTTGGTTGCTTTTCGAACTGTGATTGTTTCTGCTTTGGACGTATGCACTGCACAATAAACGCACAATATCACTTGTATTTGCCGCTTTTCTTTGGAATAGTTAAACAATGTCGCATATACACATAAAAAAACAATATACTCTATTTTGCGCACTATTTTCGGAACCTGCTTCTTCTATTTCTTTTGCATTGCATTCAACTGGTTGCGCAAGGCTGCCAGACCGTTGCATTCTGCAGTGCCTAGCAAGCTTGCTAGGCAAGAATATTGTATATATACTCTAAAATATCGATTAATACACAATAATTAAACTATTGATAATGTAATTTTAATATAGGATTGAGGTAAAAGTGTATTTTGAGCTGGCAATACAATACAATACTTTTTGATTTGTTGTTATTAGCGGAACAAGGTGGCAGCACTGCCTTCAGGTTAACGATATTTCGCAAGGAATATTCTCTCTTTTTCGTGGTGGGAAATCCTTCATTTCCACTTACGTTTTATGCTTTTATTTTTCGTTGACATTTTTTGTGTAAGCCATATTTTATAAGCAATCCAATACAAAAGGGTCCAATCTTGTTGAAAATGTATGTATATATCGGATAAACATATATGTTAAGTGCTGAAAGTCCTAGCTAGCTAGTAATATTATATAAAATATTAAAATCGGGGAACATACCTTCCGATAATGGACAGAGACCGAACTAAAAGAAGAATATACAAACAGTATTGTTTTTCGCGGCTTAATTAAAGGGTTTTCACTTTTGAAATAGAGTCGGGTCACTTCAGGCACACTTGGGCTAAGGTCATTTCTACGACCCTATTTAGGTCACACACCTTGCATTATTTGCTATGATATTGTTAGTATTTTTGAGTATCTTCTTGTTTTCCAGTATTTTTCAATACGCATTATGCGTCACCCTCTTGTCCTAATCCACCGTACACACTCACTCGCTAGGGTCTCTTGTCTAATTTTATCTAAATATGTAGTCAATTTGTAGCAATTGTTTAGTTAGTTTGTAATTACTATCTAAAAGCTGATGCTTTGCCATAAAAAGACCATTTCTTTACTTGATTAAACCTTATTTTATAAATAATCAAATAAAAATGAGTACCTAAAACAAGTAAATCGTTTAGGAACTTAATCAATTTATCGTAGAAAATTATATTATCAGTGCTGAGGGCTCCAGTAATTAGTTAATACTAATTCGAATATCAAAATTGGGTAAATGGATATTGCAATCACTGATTTAAATTGGCCCATATTCTTCGGTATATTTACGGTATATTGTGGTATATTGCTGAAGGTCAGGCGGCATACTTGTGCGATAAATCCGCGGTCACACTGCACTGCACGTGTTTGGTTGCGGCCAACCAAACTTTAACAAATCTTGTTGCCTTATTTTGTAGATTTTGGGTAATCATGGGTAAATTTCGATCGAAATTGAAACGCCATGGCAAGGGCAAGACATGGCGCAAAGGAGAGTCGGCCAAATCCAATCCGGAGCAGATGAAGCATCGCATCAAAGCAAAGTCGCGTTTCTTTCAGCCAAATTTGAGTCTGGGTAAGTGCAACCGGTTGTTGTTGTTGGAAACAGTGTCCAGTCTGTCCCTAACCCGGATTCCTCTACAGTTGCGGCTGCAACTGCATCCGCCACCAATGCCCTCACATTGGAGGCAGTGCACAAGCACGAACAGCGTCAGGCGTACAACGCGGAGACAACAACAGTGAACGATGTCGCAGGGAGCTTAATGAGCTTCACTCTGGACGATGACGATGGCATGTCCGGCACGGGCACACAGCCCACAGGGACATTCAGGACATTCAAGACATTCGCCTCCAACTACAGCAGCTGCAGCAACGTGAGCTTCAAGAAGCTTCTCACTGGGTTCCGGGCCTCGTCTGATCTGCACAAGGAAATGCTGGCCATCTTGAGCGCCCTCACTGATATTATACGCGAGAATGGCGGCAGCGAGTCCTCCACCGAGTACTTTCTGCTTCTCATGGAGCAAATCGAAGCCTCCACCGAAGAGCGGGACACCATTGCCGGCATCGCTCTGCTCTCCATGGGCATCAAGTCTGTCCCGGCTCCGGTACTAAGAAAACGCTTCAGCCAAACGGCCGCCACCGCTCAGAAGCTCCTTAAACGCTTCATGGACTCCACCAACCAGTCAGTCATCCGTTATGTAAGTGGACTCTTGCTCCCGCCAGCTCCTCCTGCCTGGATTATCATTATGCTAATTGCTATCTTGCAGCTCATCGGATGCATGTCAGTGCTGCTACGTGCCCAGGACTACGCCACATGGACCTACAGCTCCACCACGCAGTACTTTGACGCTCTGCTCGCGTTCACCATCCACTCCAAGCCGAAAATACGCAAAGCTGCACAGCACGCTGTTGTGTCAATCATACACGGCAGCTGCTTCATGCTTCCCCCCGCGCCACCCGCAGAAGGCGAAGCGGGTGAGGGCGATAAGGCTGTTGAGGAGGTGCAGCTGCAGCAGCAGCCCAAAGTGAATCACCATCCGGCGAGCGGTCGTGTTAGCAAATTCTGTTTGGCCCAATTCAAGCCCGAAGTGCTGGCCAACGCCCAGACGACAGTGCTCCACACACTGGCCCTGCTCAAGGACACCTTGTCGGGGTTCCGTACAGAGGATATACGCGCCGTTTGTGAGCACCTGCTGTCCATAATGACGGCAGCGAATTTTATGGTCCGCACCAACTGTTTCCAGGCGCTGCATGCGCTGTTCCTCACGCGCAGCGCCAACCTGAATGCCGCGCTTTGTGGCAAGTTGCTGGCCGCCATCCACGAGTATCGGCCGGATCGCTCGGACGTCCGTCAGACGCTCACCTGGATCACAGTTCTCAAGGAGGGTCACCTGCACTTGGCCACGCTGCGGCCGGACCTGTGCATGCAGGCCCTGCCCCGCCTCTTCGAGGTGTGCACCACAGACCTGTGGCTCTCGGAGCGCACTGAGCTCGTCGTTGGTGTCTCGAACTGCATCAAGGAGCTGCTGCAGGACTGCGTGACGCATGCCTGCACCAGTCCCGAAGACGCTCAGAGGAATCGACAGAGCGTGGCCCGAATCATTGCGGCCCTTCACAAGGTGCTCAGCGCTCCGTACGGCGAGATCTCCAAATATGTCATCCTCATCTTCTCCATTGTCTTCGAGGCCTGCGGCAAGCAGTTTGCGTGAGTTTGAGTAGCATTCTCCTTGAACTTTTTAGTGTTTAATTTATGTTCTGTTTTGTCCTGTTCTGTTCTGTTCTGTTGTGCTTTCCAGCACTGAGCTTACACCATCGCTTTTGACCATCGCCAAGCGGTACGACAGCCAGAGCAGCATGCGGCTGCAGATTGAGCACACTTTGATCAGTGGCATCAGGGCGTTGGGACCCGAAGTGGTTCTGAAAGCCGTTCCCCTCGCCGATGCGAAGGGTGGCATGCAGCTGGAGCGCTCCTGGCTGCTGCCCCTCCTGCGAGAGGGAGCGAACGGAGCGAGCCTGCAATTCTTCAAGGAGCACATTGTGCCCCTGGCCACAAGCTGCCAGGACAAGTGGAAGGAGTTCGCCGTGGCCCAGAACACCTCGTCGTCACACATATACGAGCTACTGTGCTGCCAGCTGTGGGGCTTATTTCCGGGCTTCTGCCGCCAGCCCCGGGATCCCGAGTACCTGCGCCATCTGGCCCCCACCCTCGGCTCAGTGCTGCAGAAGAACCCCGAGTTCCGAGCCCCCATCTACGATGGCCTACTGGAGCTGCTTTGCGACGGCCAGACTGAGAGCTGCCACACGGCCATCGGGCAGTACGCGAAGAACTTTCTGCCGCGCCTATTCAACATCTACTGCCAGAAGCCCAACGGCTCCTATGAGGCGGATCAGCGCAAGCGGGCCCTGGAAGTGATTCGGCTGTACATTGGCCGGGCTCCGGCTGAGGTGCAAGCGGAGCTCTTCGAGAGCGCCCAGAGCCAGCTGGCCAGCAGTGCCGTGGCCAGCTTCGAGTATGACGCCATGTTCGACATCAACGCGGCAATTGTCCGGGTGCAAAAGTGCCGCGGCATCGAGGCCTACTTTGAGAAGTACATGGCCCCGGTGCTGCGCAACGACAAGTCCAAGCTGGTGTCCCGCGACGAGCAGAAGCTCAAGAAGCAACAGCGCAAGACCTATGAGTAAGACCTACGATTTGAAAATGGATTTTATACAAGAATCTAGATTGACATAAATGCTATTGCCCGTTTTGTTGCAGGCTTCTTCGTGAGCTGATGACCTCGGAGCTGGCGTCGTGCCAGAAGTTTACGCGCAAGAACTGCAATGCCCTGCAGCAGTTGCTTCTGGAGGCTTTCGCCACCAGCTGCAGTGTGTGCCAGGCCTCGCGATTGTAGTAAGCATCTTCACTTGAATACCATACTCCCGAGAACGTCCACTCATGTGTGTGTAAATTTTCACTAACTTTAGCTGCCTGAAATCGCTACTTGAGTGCCGTAGCAATCTCACGCACAAGGACCAGCTCGTCATGAAGGCCATCCCAGAGGCAGTGCTCAACTACAAGGAGTTCTCCACGCGCAAAGAGCAGGTGGCCGAGCAGCTGATCAAATTCATTGCCCAACTGTACCAGGAGGCAGGGAAAATTAATGACTTTATGGACATCCTCACGGCAGGCTTTGCCGGGGACGAATCACTGATCACGAACACAGTCCTCGCCTTCAGGGCCGTGCTGCAGCAGCAGGGCCAGCACCTGACGGTGGCCACCCTCGAGTTCATTCTGCAGCAGGTGTCTGTGTTCCTCGTGCAGAAGTCCCGCAATCAGTCGGAGGCTGCTGTCGCCTTCCTTATCACGTTCATCAAGGTTATGCCCATCCCGCTGGTGGCCAACCATCTGGAGACGATTGTAGGTGACCTCCCCACACGGGTTTTCATTTCTCCCTCCATTGATTGCTCTGCTCTCTCTCTCTCTCTCTCTCTCTCTCTCTATGCTCTTTCACAGATGCGCTCCCTGTCGGCCATGACAAAGGACACCAAGCGGTACTGCCGCATCCAGATCGGCTACTTCCTCAAGAAGCTGTGCAAACGCTTCACCACCGAGGAGCTGGCCAGCTATGTACCCGGCGACGACGAAGTCACCCATCGTCGCCTCAAGAAGATCCGCAAGCAAATGCGACGCGACACGCGCAAGAAGCAGAGCGAGGAGGCGGCCGCACAAGCGGACAGCTCCGACGAGGAGCTCGTCGGTGGACTGGAGCAGAAGAGCTATACGTAAGCGCACAAGGGGAAATCCAATTATCCAAATGATCATCAATCAGATAGTACTAGCGGAATGGTTACCAGCAAATAGCTGAAGACCTACTGAGTATTCGATGAGTACTAGCTGTGTGATTGTTGCCATTGTCTACTTAGCTCTACATATATTCCATTGGTCATGGCTTTATCATGTGGTTAAAGATGCAACCCGCTGCCCGTATTGCCCATATTTATTTAAGTCCACTGAATATTTATTTTGGGATAATCGTACGATTTGATGGATAGTCGAAATTGTACCCATGCCATGTGTTCATGTGTGGAATGTGTGGCACAATCATTGTAGGGGAATTCGGTCTGTCCTCTGTCTGTCCGTCTGCCCATTATATATGTGTGTGTACGTATGAGCCGCATAAACTAAACCATTAGAAACTATGTACTCACAACGTTCCTTCTCGTTTTTTGTAATTTTGAATGCATTTTTAGCTCTTTGGGTTTCGTTTAGTTATAATTTTCCTCGAATATCAGTGTTCCATTCCTGCATTCATGCGACTTGTTCTTTTACACATGTCGTGCGTAATGCGGCAGCGCCCCTCGGTCGGTTGGGTGGGTGATTTAAGTTGATGCTTGGCATCCGCGCGTAACAAGCTTCGGGTTGTTGTAGCATGGGTCACTTGATTTATAGGGACTCAAAGAAATATCTACGAAATATGGTATTTGATCTGCCCTGACTTTCGTTGTTATTTTGTTCTTTTTTTGATGACAGCATTGATGACATCTTGGCCGATTCGGACTCGGATCTGCCCGAAGATATGGATGCCGAAGAAGAGGGAGCAGTCGCTGTCGCTGGCAAGCGACGCAGCAAGGCCAAACAGCAGCAGCGCAGCACCTACATTCGCGAGGATCCCGACGAGATAGTCGATCTGGCCGATCTCAAGTCCATTGGCAATGTGCTAAGTATGTCAATTGAAGCGCCTTCGCGGTGGGAAGACCCAATACTAATCGCTACCCTCACTCCCCTCGTCTGCAGCAAGCGGATCAGCCCCAACAGATGGCCCCAGCAAAAGCCTCAAGGCCAGGCCACAGCTGGCGAATGGCGGCTTCAAGACTGCCGATGACGGACGTCTCATTATCAGCGACAAGGCTCTGCGCGGCCAAGGAGGAAAGAATGGCGATGAAGACTCAGATTCGGATTCAGACTCCTCCGCGGACAGTGACCTTGAGGCAGGTGCAAAAACCAAGGCCAAGCGCGGAATGGAGGAGGACTCCAGCGATGAGGAGCAGCTGCAGCAGCAACAAGTGGCCAGTGGCAAGCGCAAACGCAAGGCCAGCGATGCCCTAAGTACACGTTCCGCCAAGACTAGCACCAGCACTCGATATACGGCCGGTGGGAAGGGTATTCATCGTCAATTGGGCGCAGGCGGCGGCGGCGCTCCTTCCCCGGCGGCGGATGCCATGTCCGTGCGCTCAGGGAAATCTGCAAAGCCAGCTGGCAGCGAGTACAGCAGCAAAAAGGCCAAGGGCGACATGAAGAAGCGAGGCCAGCTGGATCCCTATGCCTATATACCCCTGACTAGGAATACTCTGAACAAGCGGTAGGTTCTGCCTAACCACTAGAAATCGTCTATCTCTAACTCTAACTCTGTCTCTTTCGAACAGGAAACGTTCAATGAACTCGCGCAATTTTAAGAATGTTTTGCGAGGAGCTGGTGCCGAGGTTGGCGGTGGTAGAGTGGGCAAGAACTACAAATAGAGGAAAACACGAGGGAGTAACGGGAACTGGATTGTAAAGCTATATAGATAACAACGCCCCGGCATGGGGCGAGGCGAGGCAGGGCTGGCTGGCTGATAACAAGGCTAATATGATGAAAAAGATTTCTCGCTTGTTAATTTGCTTAAATATCTAAATATACGCATATATATACATATATCTTTATATAAGTAAGCAGCAGCATATGCTAGCAGCTGCTTCCTGATGTAAATTCCAGAAGAAAAAAAGTGGATACTATTATTATTATTATTATTATTACACATACATAACAGGCGTTGAAGAAAAAAACAAATTCTTCCCCACTAGATCCCTCCCAAGTGCTTGTGGACCACCGTCCCTAGATTCCAGGGCTCTTGCGAATTCATTTCCGGATCAAAGTTTTCCTCAAAGAAGTGCATCTTGTTGTTGGTGTCCACGAGGATAACTGAATGCGTACGACTGCCATAGCCGCGGTCGGCAATGTGCACATTGAGCGCACTCAATTCCTCGCCCCAATTGGGGGCTCGACGTTTTAGCTCCTCGTCGGGCCAGAATTTCTTCTTGTTCTTGAGCAGCTCCAACAACTGGGTACTGAGTGTCTCCACACTGGCCGCGCCATGCTCCGTCACAATATTGCTAAACTGCTTCTGGCCAAAGCGCACCTTCTCAAAGGGTGTCCCGGGCAGACTGTTGCCGAAGCCATAGCATTTTCCCTCCTCAAATTCGTTCAGGGTGGGCGGTACATTGCTCAGCAGTCTGATCTGGGCTGGCAGGGATTTGGGCCTACAATTTTGAGCATGCGAGTGATGACAATAAAATGGGTTCTTTCGTTAACTCACCCAATCTCAATGGAGACAAAATTGAAGGCGCTGTACTTGGTGCAGTCCTTGAGCAGGCTCTGGTTGAAGTTCAGGCTGCTGTTTGGCTCATCGAACTGGGACACAAAGTCTGCCACAATCATGCCGCGCCCTAGTAAAAAATGTTCGTTATTTTCTTGCGTCTTGCTGTTGCAGCTGCTGCTGCTGCTACTGCTGCTGCCGCTGTTATGGCTGTTGTTGTTTTGGTTATTTGGTTGCAAAATGTTCTTGTGCGCTTCAAATGGGAAACAGAAAAAGTTTTGAGGCAAAAGTTCAGTGAAAGTTCGGGGAAAGCAAAATGAAACAATGATGTGTGCGTGTACGTGTGTGTGTGTGTTTGATTACCGACTGCATCGCGAGGCTTGGGCTCGCCTGTGAGATTGAGCAAGGCCCCAACTTTGAAGACTCCGATGGCGCTGCCAATGGCCAGCCAGGTGCCACCCTCGCGGCCCGGTTCGAGATCAATGCCTGCAAGAGGAGTATCAGATTAAAAAGATACGCAAATGCACCACCGCACCCACTTACCGCCAACGACATGATCCGCGTCGGGCCATTCGGTCGCCCTCACAGTTTTACGGGCAAAGAACTCATCGCGATTGGAGGCCAAGATGAGCCTATAGCCACCGGGCTGCGGATCTGAATTGGTATAAAAAAAGATCACGCACATGATCCTGGTGCTGCTGCTGAGGCTGGTGGAGATCGGATGATGATGAACCTCGTCCGTTGTCCCCAAGTGGCACTGACAAACTGTCAAGTGTGCGTCGAGTTTTAATCGCGGCGGGGTATCAGTTCCAGGTCAGTCTCTTTGTTGCTTTGTGTTTGGTTTGGCGTTCGCTGGGCGTCTAAAGCTGAATTTTATCACCAAATTATCGCTGATACAGTCTTATCCGTTGTTTGTGCTTGTCAACAAAAAATAATAATAATACAAATAATAATAATAGAGTCTCTATATGTATAGAGTAGGGGTTCGGCTGCTTTGCCCAGAGTTTTCCATTTTTGTGCGTACTGACTAAATTTCGGTGGAGCATAAAACCTACAAGTGTTTTTTTTGTTGTTTATTACTCAATAAAATCAGTCTTGTCTTGGCAATGTATATATAATTTAAATATGTCTCGTTCTTTTGTTTTTGTTTTTGGGTTGCCATATGCGGCGAGCCCCGAGTGTCCCGCTGGGCGGCATCGATTAATCACTACACCTAAAGACCACTCTAGTCTGCTAGACAGAGACAGCAGCGGAGACACGGAGATACATTTGTTTTATGGTCGCATTCCACTACACTTCAGGACCAGTCTTGTCTGAAGGACAGGCAACGATAAATTTTTGCTTAATTCTGCCATAGGTTGGTTCAACAACACGCACAGCTGATTCAGACTAAAAAACTTATTAATTGAGAATTTATATAGTCATCTAGTTTCAGTCTAGATTAGTCTTGAAGTGCAATGGAGTACGATCACTACTATATTTTTTTTCGATGTGCAGACTGACATCGCTAAATTAAAAGGCTGGCAGCGCTGAGAGTGACCTGCACAACAGCTGGGCAGCGTTGCCAGGTGCCAGGTGCCAGGGATGGCTGCGAAGCAAAAACAAAATGAGAGAACAACAATATAAAGCACAACGCTACTTTGTAGGAATAACAGAAACACACAACACACACCGCCGACCGCTTCAACACAATGTGTCTGGCTGCAAACGGCAATTAAACGTAGGCGAGCGGTAATGATTACGTTTTGTTAACTTAACTCCGATAGCAGCAAGGCAACGCATCGCAACCGAGCAATGAGACAATTTCGAGTGCATAGAATGATGTACATAAAGCGGCTCAAATGTTAATGCCAATGAGAGTGGGCCGCCAAATGGGAATCCAAATCCATCCAGCAACAAACCACCGAACCGTCAATCAGAAACCGAAGAGGGGAAAACGAAACGAGAATTCCGATTCCGATTTAAATGAGCAGAAATCAAAAGAAGAAACAGAACTCGAGAAGCGCGAAAGAGAAAGAAAGTAAAGCTTCAAGTGAAAATTAGGCCAAAACGTTATTTAAATACATATGTATATGTATTTTGCTTTCCAACCTGCGGCCATGCCATTGGCTTCCCAATAATAACAAATGAAACCTCGCCAGAAGAGGCCATCCCATCCCATATAACATTCACCGAGCATCGCAACTTTGTTTAATTTAATCAGAGTCTAGCTAAGTACTAAACACAAAGCAAAAATGGAATTTCTGGAGAATATTGTCAAGAGTCTTCAAAGTCTGTTGTGTGAGTACAAGCCAGTTATCTATTATCAGGCCAAACCGAATTACTCCCGGTCCGGGTCCGTTCCAGAGCCCACATATAATCACAGCTTCTCTTTCGATGCACCATCTAGCATCCTACATCGACCTGGACTACTCTATGTGGCTGTATCGCTTCCTGACGCCGCTGATGGTCACATTCCTGCTGCCCCTGGTCTTCGTGGCCCTCATATACATATCATTCTTGGTGCTCTTCATCTACAAGCTGCACAGGTACGCAACTCTTACACCACTCGGCGAGTAACATTAACATTAAAAGAACAACAGGTACAGGTACAGCAACAGAACCAGCAACAATTGTACTCGCCGCCACTCTTCTTCAGGTGTAAATGAACTCTCATGCTTATCGCGCACTTTTTGGCAGCCATTTGCCACCTTCCGTCCCGTCCCTGTCCCTGTCCCATCGGTTTAAAGTTGGCGGTTGGTTCGCTGGTTGGTCACTGTGGCCTGGCCCTGTGCATATTGCGTCTTGTCTTTCGTTTTTTCATTGTAATTAAAACGGCAAGTTATAGAGCACGGCAAGAGGCAGAGCACACACACACACACACACGAACTTAGCGCAAACTCTCTTGGATTCAGTCACCCATTATTACCATACCGTTTACCCTTTGGATTTAGACGTCTGCTGCTGGTCATGGAGACGCCGACGTTGTTAACGACAGCAACAGCGACTGCGACTGTTTATCAAGTGATCAAAATCGACTTTTACTTGTTCATGTGTATGTGTGTATGCGACTACGTGTGTTCTGGTGTGCTTTTATTTATTTTCAGACTCTCTAATATCTACTACTCTTCACTGCAGAACCGGTTTTCTATGTTAATTAGTTGCAAAGCTCTCCATAGCCCATATACAATGTTTGACATTAGCTAACGATTCCCATTGATGGATCCAGTCAACTGAATTCCCCGCCAGATAATGATAATGCCGCAAAATACGCGTACATATGTGTGTACATAACAGTACAGTTATGGCCTTGTAAGAGTCAAATGCTGAAACAATTCGATAAGCATTTCTTAACAACAAAAAATACTAATAAAAACAAGCGAGGCCCCGAATCTTTGAATGCCCTGCAAATCGCTTGTTTCTATTGCAGCCATACATATGTTATGATCAGCTGATTTTTATAGAATTTCCTTATCTACGAAAAAACCAAAACATATTCTTCCGTCCGAGCCTTCCTAGGGTATATCCATGAAATTGTATCCGATCGCAGATCATTCTTAGATTTTCACTCTATCCTGGGAATGTTTCAGAAGAAAAACCAATTTTTCTAACAATGAATGGGTTTCTCTTCGCGGAGAGAAGATAGCTTCAGCAATGAGGTTTAATTATGCGTAGAAATATGCTCACAAAAGGCTATTACTACTGATCCAAAAAATGTACATACATAATTACTTTTGAAATATATACTTTATGGGGGGGGATATGTACCCTCTTCAAGGGTATACGTATGCATACGTATATATGTTTGTATGTGTAGTAGAAAATACAAACCAAAACACATTTCGCATTTCTCCTGTAGTCGACTCGACCGACCCGACCCTGCTGTTGCTACTCTTTGCGGCTGTTGTGTTCCGATAACAGCGTGCAGCTAGAGGCACAGCCGAACCGAGGCGGCGGCAGAGCGACATTACGCATTACTAATGACTATCACAGTTCATGGTCATTGACGACGACGCCATTGCCGCCCCGCGCCCTTCCCCACACCACTGCCATCACTTGTATTTGTCATAAAGCGCAGCCGTAATCACAGGAATTAGACTGAGCCACAACTTCGCTACTACTAGTACGAAAGTAAAGAGGCAATTACATATGTATAATGGTCCAAAGGAATGTAATATATGTAGATTACTGATCGGCTGTTAGCCACATATCGCTCACTTAGCTATCTACATACTCGTTCTGGAAACATTCGTGGGTATTATTTATGGTACCTACGTAAGTATTTATGTGCCGCCGACTAGAGATACATACATATGTGGAATGCGCCCTACAAGCCGAGATCTATTCACTGCAACAGATTTGTGCATTATTTGCCTAAGTTTAAATCAGGTTTGATGTTCCGATGAAGATCAGCGAGCACGGAACATTTCGTTGGATGAAATTAAGCATACATATATGTACATACATTATTTATAGGTTTTCCCTTGAGATTTGCCCTAGGTAAAAGCTGCTGATCAAAGCGCTTTCATTCGTATTGGGCAGAATATTTTGTTGCTGCTGTCGGTGGCTGTTTTGGCCACAAGGTCTCTCTTTTGTGAACACTCTTATCAGCGGCCGAGCGCCCCCTGCTGTCCTCAGCACACTAAACGCAGTTCTGCAACGGCCCCCAAAATTGATTTATAAGTTATTTGAGGACAGGACAGGTCTGCCTTCTGCTGATAACACCTGGTGACAGCGAAAAAAGAAACTAAATTTAAACATAATTATCAGTTTTTGGAAATTAATTTGGGAGCGGAGCGATCCGATCCGATCCGATCGGATCCGCTGACCCCACCCGACCCCAAATGGAGTCTATGTACAACCTGACTAAATCCCCATCCTCTACCCTGCTAAATGGCAACTTTAACTAACAAGTCCTTTCTGTCGTTATCTCCATGTATCTCCCCATCAGGCAGGTGATCATGCGATCTGTGCAAACGGATCGCAACTTCTGGCGCGTAGGCCGGAAGATAGTGGCCGCCATATGGGACGCTCATGCGAGGATCTACCACGGGTACGAGGTGATCGGCCTGGAGAACGTACCCCAGGAGGGTCCGGCGCTGATTGTCTATTACCATGGAGCGATACCCATCGACATGTACTATCTGAACTCGCGGATGCTGCTGCAGCGCGGCCGCCTGATCTACACGATCGGGGATAGGTTCCTGTTCAAGCTGCCCGGATGGGGCACCATCTCGGAGGCCTTCCACGTCAGTCCCGGCACCGTCCAGTCCTGTGTGAGCATTCTGCGCGATGGCAACCTGCTGGCCATCTCGCCGGGCGGCGTCTACGAGGCCCAGTTCGGGGACCATTACTACGAGCTGCTGTGGCGGAATCGTGTGGGCTTCGCCAAGGTTGCCATAGAGGCCAAGGCCCCCATAATACCTTGCTTCACGCAAAATCTACGCGAGGGCTTCCGGCAAGTGGGCATCTTTCGGAACTTCTTTATGCGCCTGTACAACAAGGTTCGCATTCCGGTCTATCCCATCTACGGAGGCTTTCCGGTGAAGTTTCGCACGTATTTGGGCAAACCGATAGAGTACGATGAGACCCTCACTCCGCAGGACCTTCAGAACAAGGTGAGTGGAGACTTGGCTGGACGGTTGCGTCAGCTTGGCATTTCCGTTCCCACTGACCGTATCTTCTGTCAGGTTGCCACCGCCATTGAGGAACTGATCAACCAACATCAGCGATTGCCGGGCAGTATTCTGATGGCACTTTTGGACCGGCTGCCGGCCTTCAGACGGGCATCTTCTTCAGGCATCAAAAAGAAGGTGGAGTAGGCGCAATTCAGAGAGATTTACTCCGGCTCCGAGAGATGATCCTGCTGCCCGTACATATTTGCGGGCTGCTGTGCTTATCCCACAACGATGATAACGTTTGAAGAGAGATTAACAGAGATTGACTTTGGTTCTTTGGCCATTAAAGACTTTCTTCCATGTACTTGATGATCATAGTACTACTATGTATAAGTAGTTTATACGTACACCTAAACACTTTTACTAAGCATGTGAAGTACCTAATACTTGGTCCCCCCCCCCCCATCGCCTTTGCACTACAATGCAATGCCTTTTGTGTTATTGTTTTTTGTTCGCGGTTGCTGTTACTAATATTTAGATAAGTTCTTTCCTTATTTCTTATGTTTGCGTCTAATTGAAGATCCCCCGTCAAAAACTCAGCCTGCTATGTCACGTTCACGTTCGCGTTCGCTTAAGTGCAAACACGGCAGATCGTATAAATTGTCATTAACACCAGCTATAGCCGATAAATGTTCTAAGGTCAACGTGAGTCCAATTCTGAACAAAGAAGAAGCATTACTCGAATTATTATTATTATTTTGCGCTTTTTTACACACACCAAACAACAATAATTACCCTAACCAATTTTGATATAATTTTTTTTCTTAGTATAATTCTGGCTGCATTAAACAATTATCTAATTAGTCTTGCGTTAAGTGTATAATTTCTTATGACTGCGTATATATTTTCGCAACCTTTCTTTTCTTCTGTTTGGGGACTGAACACTGAAGTGAAGCAGTGGAGGAGCAGTAGGCAGGTGCAGCAGTCGTCTTGCTGTCGAGTGAATGTGTGTTGTGTGCGCGTGCTGTGTAATATATGTGTGCATGCATAGCTAAGAAAAAGACTGTACGATATAGTAGTAGTAAATCTAAGTATTTGCATAAGTAAATGAATGTGACATGATGCCCCTACCCCTACCCCACATATGGCAAAAGCTAACACGGATTTCCAACTGACAACAAAAAATTCAAATGTGGAAATAAAATGCGGTAAAAATATAAATCGAAGCATTTTAATGGAACGAAATGAGGTGGTTCAACATCAACATATTTCAGACTAATGGCAAAGTCTATAAAATAGCATGATATTGCGCTGTGTGCTGGTACTTAAATTCCTCCTCTCATGGGCTATCCTAAATCATTCTCAGAACCCAACAATAAAATGCACAGTCTTTGGTAGAAAAGCCTTAAAAGCCTTAATAAAATGAAAAATTCAATAGATACAATTTCTTGAAATATATAAGTTAGTGTGAACTGGGAACGGGTGGATTTCTGTGGTTTGAAGATACAAATTTACATCTCTACATGGCTTTCCAAACAACTTCCTGAGTTGAATCTCATCTATTTAATACGAAATTATCCAATATCGTAAAGGTCACAACTGGTGGCCCCCAAAGGGGGGAATCAATGTATTTGCTTAACCATTTGCAATTGGGGATCTTAAACAAACATCTCTTATTTCTCTATCAATCTAAGCCTTAGATTCGAAGGGCAAGTCGATGACATTTCACCCCTTTCATTGTGAGTTAATATTGAGGACATTTACGACGATAAACCTATATTTCTATAGTTGTACATGTTCTATATGTACATATGTACATACATATTCTTGCATTTTCATTGTTTACTTGTCGGCGACTGAAATTGGGGATACGATACCTGCCATCGTATGTACTCCGAACTCCCGACTGATATTTATTGATTATCCCTCGTTAAAGTATCAACAGAGAATGTCTAGGAGGGTGACACACGAATTCAAAGTCAATCCTGGGTCTATCGACTGTTCTCTTCTGGCTTTTCCTTCAAGCCAAATGTGCTTAAATCTGAAATATTTAGTGAAAGTAGCTGGCAAGATACATATCTATATATGAATGTATATTTGGTACACAGATCATTTTTTACATGTATCTGAAACGAGGCATATTCGTATGATCAGACGCCTGCCGGCATACCATACCCCCACAAAGGGGAGTACAGGTAAAAGTTAATTTATATCGCCAGTTTTGATGCCCGATCCAATGGATCGCACATGCTGGCTATAAACAGCTCCTCGCAACACTAATTGATACGAGTTTGCTATGCATTCAAAAATTATTGCAAAGTAAATGATAATAGACAACAAACACCTCCTGCGGTCATATGCATATGGTAGTTTGAATACAAGTAAAACAACAAATGAATCTTTATAATAGTTTATAATTTTAAAATTCATCTATTTAACGCTAAAAATGTCGCCTTTCTCTTATCTTTTCCCCATCCTTTCATTGTCCGAATTTCTTAAGATTTCCTCCAGAAAATTTCCTCAATAATGGGAAACATTTTTTACAGCAACCAGAGACAGGAATTGACACACACGCTAAGGATTACACAGTTACAGGATGTACTACATAAACATGAAAACATATACATATATATGTATGTGTATGTAGATCATCAATGGGGTGGGAGAGGGGAGGGACTCCCATTGTGTACGACTCTGTTGGTTGAGGAACTCACAGCAGATAGGGGGAAGGGGAGGGCGGAAGTCCAATTAGTACTGCTCGGCCATGAGGAGGATAACGGTGGCCGTCCAGCCAGTGAACGGATTGCAGCCCTTGCCCTCGCCAGTGGAGTCGTCGTACTGTTCCCAGAGGTAGCCGCTCTTCTGGTATTGCCTGAATATATTCCTCACCAGATTCTCACGCAACTCAGCGTAAATCTCGAGAGCCAGGGCGGCATTGGGACCCTCTATCTTGCCGTAGTGGTGCAGGGCCCGCACAGCCAGAAAGTTGATGTTGATCCAGATGGGGCCGCGCCAGTACGGCGGATCGTGCTCCGTGTTCCGCTTCATGTACAGCGGGGAGCGCTTTGACAGCGAGCGCAGGCCAAAGTTTGTCCAAAGTTGTTGTGGATCCCTCAAGTCCTGCAGCATTTTGGTCAAATACGATGAGTCGTGATCGAGTTGCTCGAGCAGCAGCGGGAATAGGTTAACATAGCCAAATGTGGTGTCCACAAACTGGTAGGTCGGCTGCTCCATCGACACGCGCACCATCTCTGGCTGTTGTGACGGGTGGCTGCCCCGCTGCGGCGCCATCGCCGGTGGACGCTTAAGCATGACCTGGTCGGTGTGGAGGCCCCAGTCGGCGTACTGTTCACTGTAGGGGGCCAGGTGCAGGCGGTTCAGCTGCTCGTTGTCTGTCAAATAGGAGGCCGTCTCATAGTACTTGACGTCGTCCTTGCCCAGCAGCGTTGACAGTTCGGCCATGACGCTGGCGGCCAGCGCCACCCAGCAGCGCAGGTCCAAGTGCCGCTCCCGGTCGGTGGGATGCGAGGCGCGTGGATAATCGTCCAGGCCGGAGGATAGGCTCTTGGGATTGAGCTCTCGCTGGGTGGTCGTATTGCGGCCCCGCCACAGATACGATCCCATCAAGTCGCCTGCGAATGAGAGGCAGAGATAGAGAGAGAGAGAGCAGAGAGCGAATTAGAAAAGGAAAGAGATACAGATAGAGATAGAGACAGAAGCGAACCTTTTTGTGTGGTGTTGTACCAGTTGAACCACGCCTGGATACGTGGATACAGCCGCTCGAGGGTGGCCAGGCGACCCTTTTGGGAGAGCTCTTGTCTGTGGCTGGTGAGCAGCTTCCTTAGCGTCAGGAAGAACGTTGGCGGATTGGCATTGCTGTTCCTTTGGGTGACAAACTCCTCGGGAACCTTGGACATGGCCTCAGTTCCGAGGATTTGCTCACGCGGTATCCAGCCCTCGACGTTGAGCAGATCGAACCAATGACAGATTATGTCCAGCTCGATTTCGACGTCCCACGAGCTGATCAGCAGACCGTGGAAGCCCTCGTCCCACAGGAAGCCACGGGGAAAGAAGCTGCGAGAGGGCACGGCCGTGTATAGGGGAGCCTTCCAGTAGGGCACAGGGTTCTTGGTGTGGACCGACTGTACACGACTGGAGCCGTAGAAGTAGCCGATGCCGCCGAGCATATTGCTCAGGGCGTTGCGTGCAAAGCGCACCTCTTCGGGCGAGTAGCCACGACCCTTCAGCTGAAACTTCTCCTCGAAGCGCTTCTCGAACTCGCTGATCTTTGCATGCAGCGACTCTGTGTATGCCCGGCCCGTGGGCGGCTTCGGTATCGACTCGCTGAGAGTAAAGCCCGATGTGGACTGATAGGTAATGTCGAGGGTGAAGTCCACCTCGGCCGTGATTTGTATGGCTATGAAGTTGGGCTCCGGGTTGGACGAGGGCAGACCGTTCTGGGAGACAATCTCGCCGGGCAGGCCAATGAAGCGGTTGCCGCGCTTGTCCGCGAACGCTCGGAAGTGCGAGAAGAGAGTGTCCTTAAGCTTGCTCAGCGACGGCGCCACCGTGCTCAGGTACGACTTGTGCAGAATTTTTCCCTTCACTGCATGGAAGCGGACCTGGAACTCGCCCAGTCCCTGAGTCTCGCCGTAGACACCTGGCTCGGGGCTCTTCTCGTCCGACACGTACTTGATATGGCCATTGGTGCGCTCATCCAGCGCCACGTACCAAATGAGCGAGATGCTCTTGTCCCAGGCGCGCGTTGTGTTCCGCACCGAGATGCGAGCGGTCCAGTCGCCGCCATACTGCTTCCCGGCCGGATACTTCACAAACGAGGTCTTCAGCTCGAAGGGCAGGTCCTGGATCTCCTGCACGCCGAAGCTGCGGCCGTCATGATGCGTCCACCCGTAGCCATCTAGGTTGTCGCTCTGCTCACACCAGTGCCGAATGCCCTGGCCACCATGGCCCAGACTACTGGGTGTGTACCACATCAATCCCATTACCAGGGAGTGCGGATCGCGTGTTTTCATACCAAAGTAGGTGAGCGGGCGGTACGATCCCCAGTATCGGTCTGGATCGTCCAGACCCGTGTGTACAACCATTTTCTGGTTGTCGAACGGCGTGTTCACTCTCGTCTCCAGGTAGCCCACGTAACCAAAGTACGAGGCGATGCCCAGGCAAATGCATCCAATTAACGTCTTCCACTTGTCCATCATCACCTTCGAGGACAAATTGAACCTGGTGCTGCGCTTCTGCTTGGAGTTGGCGGCTGCGGCCGCTGCTGCTACTGCCGCCGCTGCCGCTGCTGCAGATGCCGGTTGGCCCGAGTTGCCTGAGCTCGACCTGGCAGTGCCCGCATTCCGGGCCATTTCAGTTTATGACTCTGCTCTGATCGTAATTGCGAGTTATGAAATTCTACTTGTTTGTTCTTGCACAGCAGTTAAAATTATTTTGACAGCGCATTGTATTTTTGCGTTGCGCGCAGGGTTGCCAATTCCAATTACAAGAAAACATAACAGCAACACGATGACACGTACGTAAACCTTTCATCGAAATGTGCTTATCGATAGATGGAAATCGCATAGAATGCATTAAGAAAACTAATTTTGGTATATATTAATTTTTTTTAATCTCAATCGATCTAGAATTCGATAGATAGTTTTTGAATTAAGCTCAGTACTCAAATAAGCTCTATTTCTTTGCCGACAAAAATTACCATATATATCGATCGGGGGGCAGAGTGTGACCAGTTGTGCATGCTCTACGGTTACACTGTCTTGTGTTTGTTTACAAATATTTAATCTGTTCAAATTTCAAATATTGTATTAATGCAAGCAGCAAATATTATTTGTGGGCTGTGATATGGCTATAAATGGCTTTTGACATGAATTGATTAACACAACGAGGTGAGTCCACAATCGACCATAGACGACCATATTTGTTTAGCCTATCGATATAGTTGCACGGTGTGAGACCTAGAGAGGGGATAAAATTTAACGAACTAATGTTAAAACATCGATGTATCGATAGGGCTGGCAATTGTTTTTCCAGCTCTAATGCATAATAGCACTATAAACATCTCAATGGACGCGAAATTAAGTCAGACGAAGTCAACTAGACGCTCATTTAAAAAGCCCTTTGTCTTTGCAAAGAACTGCGTCTACCGCCCGATGCGCCAGATAAGCAACATGGAACGAAACCAGAAGCTGCCAGTTGACAGGCCGACCTGTAAGTAGCCAAAACAGAACACCATGCATATCATTCGACGCTCAATTAATGTCTGCTCACCTTCGTGCCATTATCTAGACTTCACGCTTAATGCACCGCCCTCACTGGTCCCGGCCAAGAAGTACTCGGACATTAGTGGCTTGCCCGCCCCCTATATGGATCCGCACACAAAGCTTCGCTTTGCCAATGCCGAAGAGTACGCCTCCATGCAGCACATGCCCTCGGACATCATCAACCGGTACCTGTCGGTACGCGGCTACACCAGTGCCGTGGGATAGTTGACTAGTGACTGCACACTGGGGTTTCGAGGTCCGCTGCGAGGTTATCTGAAGCGCAGTTATCCATGGCCTTTCTTTTAATTAGAATTTAAGGTTTCTTTTTAAGAATAGATTGTTCAGAGATGTCAAACTATAAGGCATTTGAACGTAAGTGGTAAGGCACGAAGAACGGTAGAGCGCGCTGGAGAATGTGTTTTGGAACAAGTACAGCAAAAGGAGCTTTATTGAGGCCTTTCTATAAAGGTTTTACAAACTACAACTCTCGTGTTATTATCAGTATCTTCATTTTGTTTGAGTTAAATTAGATTTAAGCATCTAAAGGAAGTACCAAAGAAAAAATTCTGAAACTCGTGAACTACCGGAATTGGGTTTCCCGGAATATCTCTATTTTCTAGCTCGGTCTGTATGTGTGTGCGTGTGCCTGTGTGGGGCTATGGAAAGCGGACTAGTGGAAGTTATGGGATCCGCTTCCCGGACACCATCGTAGTCATCATGTGAGCTAAGACTAATTTCAATGTGTTCTTCATGCATTTTCTGGCATTCGGTCCAGGAATCTTGTTAGATGCTACCCGGCCTGGTTGATGGGGCGGCTAATACTGTTCGGCTGGGTGAGCATCTGCAAGTCGGCGCGAAAGCTCCGCGGTAGTCCGGAGATGTCCAGCTGGTACTTCAGCACCACCATAGTGGCCAGGGTCTTCAGTGTTGGCTCGAAATCCAGCACATGCAGGTCGCTGTAATCTATGAGAGGCAATACCGGCGCTGGCCCGCCATCCTGAGCCTCAGCATGGCCATGACCTGCAGGTGGAGCAAGAACCGCAGCCTCTCCCTGCTGCTGTTGCTGATGCACTGTGGTTGTACTGGTGGAGGTCCGTGGACTAGTACCGCCAAAGAGGAACATTTGTGTGCCTATCACAATGGCACATTGGCGCCGGCGGGCCGTTGGCGCCTTACCATTGGCCCGTATTAGGTTCCAGAGTTTGCTGCGTGGATCAAACGTGTACAGATCGTTGAAGTGCTGGTCCAGCAGCCCATTGTAGCCGCCAAAGACGTAGATGAGTTTGTTATAGACGAACATACTATGGCTGCGCCGGCCGACGGGAACCTTTCCGGCCGTAAATGGACGGTGCCATACCTTCGTCTTCATGTCCAGAAAGACAATTTCATGGCAATAGGTCTCTTCCTGACTGTGGTACGGGCTATGCTTATCGCCGCGTCCCCCGAAAATGTACATACGCTCTTCCTCGTAGGCCACAGCGGCATGGAAGTCCCGGTAGCTGGGGGGCACCCCAAATGTCTGTACATAGGTCCACTCCATAGTGTCCAGATTTAGGGTGTGCACGTCGCTGCTAAATTCATTAATCTCATCAACGAATCCACCGAATATGTACATGGAGTTGCCGATGACACAGGCCGAGTGGCCGTCCCGGGCCCCGGGCAAGCAGCCAGTGACAACGGGTCGTGTCCACTTCGCAATCTTCGGGTGGAAACAGTATAGGACGTTGCAGAGGTTCTCGTCGTTCCGTCCGCCCCATATGTAGATGCGCTCCTTATAGGCCACCACGGTGTGGCCGTATCTCTGGAAGGGCACCAGCGGGTACTTGAGCGGGACACCTTCTTCGTCGTTCTGCTGTGGGACGAGGGTCCAGCGCATTGTGTGGGCGTTCAGGACGTGCACATCGATCTGCTCGTTGAAGCGGTAGTCGTAGCCGGTGCAGTATCCACCGAAGCTGTAGATTAAGTCGCCCACCCCCACAGCGGCATGGTTAACCCTCTGAGGTCCTCCGTCCAGGTGCACGGTCCACAGCATTGGGCTCGGATACTGCAATACTGATGACAAAGAAAAACTCATTTAGTTTGGGCCGAACGTCAGGCAGGGACTGGGACTGGGACTGAACAGAAGCAAAAAAGAGTTAGGCAAACAGACCGAGTTATAATGGAGGTGTGAGTGCTTGAAGGCCACCCAGGTGTAAAGGCAACGACAGATACCACCACTGTTGTCAAAGGTAATTTAACTTAGTTGTATGTATTTGTTGTTGTTACCGTTTTTAACACAACTAGGTATGGAACTTCGCACTTACGGAACGTATATATGTTGTATGTTAAGGCTTTTCAATCGATGACAGCACTGGCACAGATGACACTGACTCGTACTCGGACAGTGCTGTAAGTGCCTCGAAAGCTGGCAGCTTTTTCTTTGTCACATTCACAGCACCAATGTAACGGAAAAAAGGCGTTTGAGGATTAGCTAGTTGTAAAATTCGATGTGACAAGGTCACGTATATTTCATTATATTCCATTCCACAAATAATCCAATGCTTGTTGACAGTTGCATTGCATATTAGGGCATGGCTGTTTTCACAAATGCACTTCGAGCGCTGTTAGCCAACTGGTGCTGTTGGGCGCACCGAATGATGTGCTGTTAGAGGCAAGTACGAGGCAACCAAAGGCATCACATAGCCATGAATATTTATTGAAATAAATACTTTAATACTGTGCATTGCACTGTGTGACAGTTCCATATACGGAAACGAACCCCTTGTCTGTTTGGTGAAAATATAAAGTCTGTCGTCGCAATTCGTTCTGTTAGGTGCAAATGCATAGCGAGTGCTGTTAGAGAACAGGTGCTGTTAAAGACAGAATATGAGCGCAGCGCAAACAAATGTGAAATAGAAACAATGCAAACTTCTGGTTCTGCATTATACAAGTGAAGAAACGGTACGGTACCACGGACAAAGTGCCTTTTTCAGTGGGTCGTCGTCGTTGCTGCCTCTTTTTTTTGTTCTCGGTGTGTGGTGGTGTGTGTTTGGCTGTGCATCGTTCTTGCATTTTCATCGGGGTCTACAAAAACAAAAACAACAGACAAACCGTAAGTTGGTTCAACTTAATTTTTCTGCCAATTTCAGTTGTTATGGCTTTTTTCTACCCGCGCTCCCCGCCCACCGTTGCACACAGCGCATTAGAAAAAACAAGACATGTTTGTTTGTTTGTGTGTATAGATAGCTGTTTTCCATGTGCGTGCGTATGCCCACTGTTTAACAAATTGCGCCTTTCGACAGCAAAACTTCAGTGTGAGCAGGAGAGAGGAGAGAACGGGTCGCGAAAAGGGTTCATTTCTGTCTTTGTCTCTCACCTGCTATTGGTATTGCGTTCCACACAGCTGACTTTGTTTCTATCCACTCTTCCAGAAGAATGTATGCGCAGGATTGGTTGCGTGGGGGGGGAAGTAGAAGGATTTTCGCAAATTATGTTTGTTGCATACAGAGAACCACCAATGCTCTCACACAGCCACACACATGCAAACACACACAGGCAAACTAGCAGCTGTAGTGCGCATGAGTGTGTGTGTGTGCGTCGTCGGCGCAGCTGTTTGTGTATTGTTGTTTACGCTTCTTTCCTCTCTTCTGCTGCCACTGTAGCTGTCGCTTCCAGCGTCACAACGCAATAAATTCATGCTGTTGTCTGATAAGAAATCACGAATGCAATCGAATGTAGCCGAAAAGTGTGTACAATGTACACTGTACATGTTATACATACTTTTTTTTTTTTCGAAAAGTGTGATCTCTCTGTCGTCAGTTGTTGGGTATTCTGGTTTCCTTTGTCCCCCTCTGGCCATGATGCGAGAGAAATATCTGGAGATAGCGCTCCATCACTCTCATAGTTTTTATCTGCAACGCGGTAATCACAGGCGTTACGGGCGGTGTGATTTTGTTTTCGTTAAAAATTCAATTATTTGATGTTATTTTAATAATACGGCATGTTAAGGCCGCCTACAACAGTTGGATCATCTATGTATAACATATCGTTAAGCTAAGTTAATAAAAAAAAATTGTATTTCATAATAAAGATGTCAATCTTTACTTATGTAGTTACTACTCAGCAAAATGTGCAGCTTTGGGAAATCACAAAGTATCAATTAAAGCCAAAATTTGAGCGCACAGATATTATTCATTGTCTTCATTTAAAAACAAAAAATTTTGAAAAATACAGTTGAAATACGAATTTTTTCTTGGAAATTAGCCATTCTCTATACAAATAGGGGGAATTGTTGGGGTCATTTTTTTTAGTATGTATATGTATGAACATACTCGTATGTAGCTCTAGCTGCTGCTAAGTATGTATACAGATCAAAGATATTGTTTCCTCCTCCATACACTTCATTTGGGATCAGATATTTTCTTTGGAAGGTCGATCACACTCAAATACATAAATATGTATGTGCATGCATACGTACATAAATATGTACATACAAATGTAAAAATCATCTTCCTAAATTAATCTGGCTCATCCGAATTTTTCTTGGTCTGTACAATGTATTAGGATACTGACTAATTTGCATAAAAACAGGCAGTTTTTTTTATTAATCAAATGCTATCCTGGTTAAGCAAGTTCGTGTATATGTATGTAAATACATATGTACATAAATACAATCTAACGGATGCCAGATATATGTACATTTATTTCTCCACGGGCGCAAAGTAGTAACAAACACAAAGAAACGAGGAAAAAATTGCACTGAAAGACAAAGATAAGCAAACCAACAAACCCACAGAGCCTGGTGCCTATCCACGAACGAAGTTCGGAGATTGCGTGCCGGCTGTGCCGCTACATTTTCACTGCAAATGCGTATTTCTCAATTAAGCAAGAACAGATAAAGCTGACTAGGCGGTTTCGGTGTTAATTATGTAGTTGTGAGCGTGAGCTGGGTTTGCTGCAATGCAATCCAGTCTGGCTTGCTTTCCACAGGCGACACTGACACACAATCGCAATCGCAAAGACTGATCACGATATATGAGCAGAGACTTACCGTTACACAGCATGGGGACTTTGCCCCAGTCACGCAAACTGTGGTGGAACAAAAATACCCTACTTCCTTGGCATTTTCATGTTATAAAACTTGGTTGAGGTCCAACATTATCAGTCCTATGAAAGGGGTGTAGAAAATTTGCTTGCCACCGTTGCCGAACTCATATAAATTTGACTAGGTACGGGCTCTGAGACCTTTCCTCAAACAACATACTCGTATGTAAATACATATGTATGTATGTACATTTTACACATGGTTGCCGCATGAAAAAATTAGAATTCGCCAACAAAAAATCGACAAAATTATTTTTTACAGTAATTCATGCCTCATACATACATACAAATGTACATATATTGAAATATTGATCTGATCATACGAAAATAAGCTTGGAAATGAAAGAATAAAATAATTTGAAACCTTTTCGTCTATGCTTTTTTTTTTCATTTTGATTTGCGCACTCCCCTATTTTAATTATGCAGATTTTGATTGTGTGCATCACACTCACTCAATTTAATTCGAATGCATTATATTTTATTTATGTATAGTATGTACATATGTTGTGAGTGGAGCCACATAGATCTGTAATTAATTGATGTACATTTGTATTTATGTATTTATTATGTAAATAGTATAAATATACATAAATGCCCTCTGCATTGCCAAAATATGGCCAAAATAACACTTTCGTTTCAAGGGTATAAAAAGACAAAAGCCACTTTGCTGCTTTCCTAAAATTAAAGGGAGCGCCAGAGAGACCCAGAGAGCAATGCGGCCAGTATCAAAGAAATAAAAATAATATTGTAAGCATTTTGCGCGGCAATTTGTGAGCGCATACATATGTACATATGTATGTATGGTTCATACATCATAAATAAAATAAACTAGCAGACCCGCGCGCTTCGCTGCTTACTAAATGCATTTAATGTTTAAGAATACATCGAAATTAAACAATGATAATGAAATGCAACAAATATACTTACACAAATTGCAATTTTTTCAGAAAACAATTTTTCATACATAAAGGTATAAAAACAAAAATCTATCATAAAATATTCTGTTCTACAGAATGACACAAAATGAAATGAAATGAAATAGGCCTTCAAAAACACATTTTTAGACCAAATTTGAGACTTTTTTTTATTAATTTAAAAGCAAAAACTTTTGTATAGAAACAATGCCACATACTATGGCTATTATGGTGCACGCGTTGCGGAGAAATGAAATGAAATCGGTTCAAACACAAACTTTTAGACCAAATTTAAGATTATTATTAGAAAAGTACAAATTTGTTTGTGCAAACCATGCCACATTCTCTGGCTATCATTTCAAAAAACATCATGCAATTTGGTGCACGCTGCTTACACACAGGTTTTTTTCTACAAATTTATAGTATAGAGAGATATGTACAGGCATCCTATTCCTATGTACATATGTACGTATGTATATTGGATTTTGCACTTACATATGTATGTACCTTTTCATCATCATCTTCTGCTTTAGCTCCTTTTGTTTGCGTTCGCTGGTCTGCCGTCTTTATTGCATTTGCAAATTGTACGTAATTTGTTTGTTCATTGAGCACGCATTATGCGTTTAAATTTGTTGCTATTGTTGCACTTTACATATCATATTTGTCCTTTATCGTCGCTGCTGATGTCTCCGGCCACCTGCTGCTGCTGCTGCTGTCACTGCCAGCGCCGCTGTCAGGCCGATACTCTACCAGCGGGACGGCGTCGCGTCGCCGCTCATTCATTCGTTTCGTTTCGAGCAGCGCGCTTTGGTTTCTTTCGTTGGCAAAAACAAAAATTGTGTGGCAGAGGGAGAAGTCAACATTACTCTTCGTAAAAGGTGCAAAAAATAATTTTAAATCCACTCGCACGAATAATAACAAATAAATAAATAAAGACAAACAAACAGCAGAATAAGATGTGTGTGTGTGACGAATAAATTTTAAAACTTCTTTTTTCCCCTCTCCGTTCGCCGCTGACGTTGCCTCTGCTGCCGCCTTTATTCTTTTATTTATTTTTTTTTGTTTTTGTTTGGTGGTTCAGTGAACTGTGCAGTATGTGCTTCTACGTTTCTGTTTTTATTTCTGCTTCGGTATTATTAAATTAATTACAGCTAGGCGTCGGAGAGTAGAAAAGTCGTTGACAGATATCTTAATTATAATGCTAATTCATTTTGCCGGCACGCCTCCTAGCAAGGGCCGGGGGTGCTTTAGATCTCTTTGTTGTCTGGTGCATATTCCTTTTCTCTCTCTCTTTTTATGCCTGTCTGTGTAGCTCTTTGTTCTGCCCGGGTCTGGGCGCTCCTTCGGTTTCTTTGTTCAAGTCGTTAGCGCAGACGCAGGCGCTGACGCTGGCGTCAGCGTCCGAGTCAGCATCAGCCAATTTGCATGCTCTGCATTTTGGGATTCAGCTTCTTGTGGTAATGCTGCAAGAGTGCGGAGTGCGGGGCCTAATTAAAAAATACAATTCGTGTATGGCTTTATGGTGGACTTTGCGTCTATGAGAGAGTTTCGTTAATAACACTATGCAACAGACAAAGAAAAATCTAGCACCAGTTTGGGGGATCAATATTTTTAATGAATTATGTTTTTTTATAGATAGAGATTTTGTTCCATTTTGTTTAAAAATTGTATATTTTAAAATTTTGTTATGCTGAAGAACTTACCAATTATGAGAAGATGATGAATGCAGCTTAAACTTCTTCTTCGGTTTTCATTTGGGAATTATTAATCTTTCAAATAGAAAATTCAAAAATTTTCCAGTTTAATTTTATTTTTTCTTATTGTCTAGTGCGACAAGAACTATTCTTAAAAGTTAATGCATTAGTCAGAAATGCAATATTATTAAAACAAACGAGAAGGAGCGTGTGAGTCGCTTCTATGTACGCGAATCTACTTTTATACCCGTACTCAGTCAGTATATAAATATGTGAGCTAAGGCGGAAAGGGGCGTGGTAAAATTTTGAGACAAACTTGATTCAGTGTGAAGCACACATGAGCCATTACATGAGCCTGGAAACAAAATTTGGTTGCTCTAGCTCTTATAGTCTCTGAGAACTAGGCGTCAAACAAGACGGACGGACGGACAGACATACATACACTCGGCTGTTGATGCTGATCAAGAATATATATACATTATGGTGTTGGAAACGTTTCCTTCTCTGCGTTGCACACATCCACTTTTACCACATATACAATATTCCCCTTAGGAAGGAATACTAGAAGTGTCTCAAAAACAGTCCTGAATGTTGTGAGGTGCGGCACCACTATTTCCACGATCACAGCTGTATGTGTTGTATGTAGTACATATGTACATATATCTAGATGAATCTAATATCCGGGTATAGTAATTCAGCAGTGTTTTAATTGCTTTAGTCGAAGCAGCAAATGTTTTGAAACTCTTGCTTTAATCTGCTTCGACTTTTTCAAGCTTTTTCAAACGAACAGCTGCTACTGCTCACGCTTAGTACTAAGCATATGAGAAGACGTAGTCGAAACAGAAGCAAAGCCACTCGTCAGAGACTTGAACTTTTACGGTACTCGAACTGCAAGGGTATACATATGGACTTACATATATATAAGTATGTAAGGTTCGATGCGCTAACGCTAGCTTTCTTGAATTTTTGTTGTTGTTGTATTTCTTTGTTTCGGGTCGTCCAATTATACGTGTTGTTGAGTGCGGGTTAGATAGACTGTAAATGGAAATCGATAATGGAAAAGCCCTGGCAATATCTAACTTTCCGTTTGCCTCGCTTTCGCCCCCGCCGCGCCCCCCCCCAAATCACCTTCTCAGGCAAAACCATTGCCGCCGTGCAGAAAGATGCACCACCACCAGGGCTATGTACAATGTACACACATATGTATGCACTAATAATTGAACTTTTTTCGTGTTTTCAGCTTTGGCTGTCTGGAAATTCGATATACATAACTTGGAATCAGAACGGCCAGACAAGGGCGTTGTCGTCGTCATCTTGGTATCAGCAGCGGGACAGGGACGCCACTGTAATCGTTCAATGACAGCAGCCGCAGCAGTTTCTGCTGCTGCCTTCGCCGCTGCAGCAGCGCGCAGTTAACGCCGAAGCAGAGGGTCCAGCGGAGTAAAGAGAGCAGAGACTGTGTCGTGGTCTTTTGATCGTGGCCAAGGTAGGTGCTGGCAATATAATCTCTTCCTATGTGTGCTTCTCGCTAATAAATATTTATCCGGTACTTCAGCAGCGGCCATCGATAAACCAAAAAGGCCAAAGGGAAAAGCGAACAAAAGAGAAATTAGAAAGCTTAAGTGCTGAAGCCTCAACCAAAGAAGAGGATATCAAGAAGAAGGCACCCACCCATTCGGCAGCAGAAAAAATGGTGAAAACCTTTCAGGCCTATCTACCGTCCACCAATCGGACCTACTCATGTGTTCACTGCCGCGCCCACCTCGCCTCCCACGACGAACTCATTTCGAAGTCGTTCCAGGGCAGCCAGGGCCCGGCCTACCTCTTCAACTCGGTGGTGAACGTGGCCTGTGGCCAGACGGAGGAGCGGGTCCTGCTTACGGGACTCCACGCCGTGGCCGACATATACTGCGAGTGTTGCAAGACGCCGCTAGGCTGGAAGTATGAGCACGCCTACGAGTCCAGCCAGAAGTACAAGGAGGGGAAGTTCATTATCGAGCTGGCGCACATGATCAAGGAGAACGGCTGGGACTGAACGTGTGCAAGGCGGATTGGCGGATGTAAGGCAGCCGTCGGCATGGGTTAAAGCAGCAAAATGGCCGAAACAGCAGCATCAGCAGCAGCAACAACAACAGAGGAAACACACACAGCGTGGACAACGAGTGGAAGGCGTTGGAAGAAGTGCGAGTGCGAGCGTGAGCGGAATGGCTGTTGCACTCCCTTAAGTGCAATGCGAATGCAATATGCGAGAGGAATGGATTGGGTTGATGTTTTGAAGCGTCGATTAACAGAGGGGACGAGAAAGAAATCAAGAACGAGAACGAGAAGGATATGATCAGGCAGTGGTGTGGGGTCAAGGGTAAGGGCAAGGCAGCCGGCGGTCGAGAGAGTAAATTCGATCCACAAGTGAGAGTTATATGGTACCAGAATACATATATACTATGTGTATGCTATTAGTGCACAAATAGTCGTATCTAATACAAACATAACACAACCCACCCACATAAACACACACACTCATGCCGATACGTACATATACATATGTGCACATAGACGCATATTAACATATTTATTCATGCAAATAGAAAATGTTTGAGTGGCCGTAGGGACGATCTCTGCGCCGGCCGCAGTGAGCCTGCTTGGAGCTGGTGCGCCGTCTACATACATATGTTTATACATGCATGTATGTATGTAATTTTACGTCAAACTTCTGAGCATTTTCATAATTTCATCTCGCCCTTTTTTTCACGTTGTTTTCATTTCCCCTTATTTATATTTCAATTAATTGATCGGGTTTTTGGATGACACTAATCTAATGAAGATGCTGATTAAATTACGTTTAATTTATGTTCACTCTGAGTTGAATACATTTTTGTATGAACGGAGAACGTTTATTAACGGCAAGCCCGACGCGAGAAAACAACACACACATACACACAAAAACTTGCACTGCCAACAAACAGGAGAAATGTTTAGCAATAAATTAAAAATACCGCGAGACAAAAATGGATCATTAGAACACAAGGCATGCAAAAACAAAAATCGGGAATCAGAATTAAATATACACAAATCTACACATACATACCCATACATGCATTATCAGGCAGGCACACACATTTTCAACATGAATATGTATTAGGTATTTAAAAATGTAATTTAAATGAACTATTTAATGAAATTTACCATGAAAGAAATGTGAGATAAACATGAACTGAAAATTGCAAATGCCCAAAGCTGAAAACAGCAAAGGAGTAACGCACGTATGAGAGAGGTCGAGGTTGGGGTCCCACAAAAATGGTCTGAATGGTGCGAATCAAAACTGCTCCCAGTGGAATGTATTGTAATGCAATGACGTGTGGATTCCATATTCACGCGATCGAAGAGAATGGGCGGGATGTGAATGAAATTAAATAAAATACAAGGCGTAACAGTAATACAAATTCAATATAAATATTTATTTATGTACATACATACATATATGAGGAAACTGCGTATTTGTGTCGCAAAAATTGTATAATTATCGAGGAGAAACGAGAAAACGGAAGAAATAATGGAGGAAATATTTTTAATGGAAGCAAATTATGATATAATGTATGCAAAAATAACTGCCAAGAACTATTCAAGTTAAAAGATGTTCTCTAAGTAGTTATATAAATGTATATGAGAATCATATTTTTGGTAGCGTTAAAATACCTTAAAAGTAAACGGAAAACCACAAAATATAAAAAAAGTTCAATAAAAAACAAAACAAAATCAAATTTTTTTTTAAAGAAAGCTTATATATATCATGAAACATGACAAATTATAAAAATGGCAGAACCCGTTTTTGTATTTATTTTTTTGGTTTAAAATGACATTGTTAATACATTGCAATGGTCTATTTACTCATATTTATCAAACTTTAGCCCTAATTTTAAAAAAGCTTTAAGCTTTGTTTTACTGTACTCCCTGCATGTGATGCACCATGAATAGAACACAAATTTTGAGCGGAATTCATAAAACTGATGTCAGTATTTACATATACATGTACATTTATACATACATACCATATGCATACATACATACTACAATCGTACATACATACATACATGCATACAAATAAAACGAGACCACCTTTACATCAAAAAATTAAATATGTATGTAAGTGCATCCAGCTACATTAACTGAAGCCAGGTTGGAGGATGATCAGCTGTGCTAAAACTGCACGAAAGTTATGAGATTGTTTAACTAACCGATTCAACATTTTGTATTGTGCAAGTGAGTGCCCAGAAAATCAACGCAATAAGCCCGCAGACGAGATCGCAAGTGAGCAAAAAAGAAATGAGTGATACATTTGACTCGCATGCGAGCATTTTGCTGGGTATGCGTACATACATATATACATAAATTATACATTTACATACATAAATACATACATACATACTTATAAATTATACATATACATATGTAAATGTGTATATTGGATATATGTAAACGAAACATAAATCATGAACTGCAATAAAGCGCATTTTTAGCTCTACTCTGAGTTTTGGTTTCCTTAAATACATATGTGGAAGTACGTTACACATCGAAATTGAAACACACACGTATATGATTTCTATCAAACGAGCCTAAAACGGGTTTATTTTGTAACAATTTTCTGTTGGTGTATGAATTGTATGTGTTCTGCGTTATTGTGTTCATGTGAAATCGATTAAGTGTTTGGCTATCATTTGAGGGATTGATTTGTGTTTTCTTCTCGACTTTGCGCTAACGATGTGTATTTGGGATCCGGGGAATTTCGGTTTATGTGGTGTATAGCGAGGTTGTGTTTCTGTGTGTTTCTTAGTGGATCAGCTTGAGCTTGAGCTGTGGCCACCAATTATTTCCATTTGTTGGTGTGGTAGCACCACTTGGACGACAGCCCGGTAATTGGGTTCATCTGCAGTTGAATGATGCGACGCAGCTGCGCCTGGCGCCGGTCCTCTGCGTACGTTTCCGGCACGGGACCATACAGCTTGAAGTAATAGGACAACGAAATGAGCAGCCCAATGGCGGCTGACCAAAAACCAACGCCCATGGCCAATTTCCAGTCGGGCGTAAAATGCTGGAACTCGGCGTAGGTCTGGCAGAAGCTATGCCGATACAGAAGCTTCTTTTCCTGAAGCGACAACGAATTCCAGTCACCTAGCTCCTTTTCGCGAGCCGCGCACAGCTCGGCTGTGACCTCGCGATAGCGAATCGCCGGAAACGGGAACTCCACGCAATCGATATAGATGGGATTGCCGTTTATGCCATATCCGACGACCTCGCGATCGCCGCTCATCAAGCGTGTACCATCGTGATGGGTCTCACGACGCACCATTGCCAGCAGTGCCCACTGCTGGGGCAGTATTCGGTGGCACTGCTGATGCAGGTGCAAGCTGAGCGCACGAATTATTGACATTTTGACATTGACTTCACCTGGAAGAGTCACCCTTTTTAGGAGCGCGAATTTAGTTCTGCCTGCAGAACTTTGTTTTTGCTTACCTGTTGGTTTTATTTGTATTTTGTTGGAATTTATTAAACTATAAGCGAGAACTTCGATTTTGACTTTGCTCCTTATCGTCCTGCCTGACGGAAAAAATTGAACAGCTTGCCGTTTTTATACTTTTCTATTCCAGTTGTGACGACTGACAGCTTCGTAGGGTTGTCAACTGGTCTGAAGGCACAGCTAAGCATGCTGGCAATACTTTGTGTTCGTTTTCTTTAATCAAAATCAATTAAGTAAGCAGAAAAATAGATGGGAAAAATATACTTAGCGGTTGGGCTAACAACAAACATAAAAAATTCGATAAAATTAATTTTATTGCTGCATTTATTCGAAATATATGTACATATGTATGTATGTTGGAGAAAGGGTCTAGTTGCAACCACCCCACGTAAAATGTGATTTTCGGAGGGCTGGTAAACCAATTTTAGATCCGCCGTCTCTCCATAGAATTTAGTAAGCAATATCTTAAACGACGCCGAATGGATGCACCTATACACAAAGAATATAAGGACACAGGATATGTGTTTGGGTCAAATTTATAGCTGCATCAATTAGCTTTTCAGAATGACAAAGTTTATTATAATTAGATGTAAGATACTTAAATTATGTTAAAAAAAACATAAACAAAAAATACTAGTTTTCTAAAATTGATAAAAAAAACGAGAAAGAACGTGCGAGTCGCTTCTGGGGACGCGACTCTACTCATACCCCTACTCAGTCAGTATAACATTTTTGAGCTTATAAGTTTTTAGAATTAAAAAAAAAATTTTAAGCTTACATTTTTTTTGTTACTTCTGTTATCTACATCTAAATAAACAATGTATATTCTACATCTAACATGTAGATCCTACATGTACCATTTAGATTCTACATCTCCTCCGCTAGGGGTTGCTCGCGCACTGAACGCGGCAGAGTGTGCGAGCGAGAAAGAAAATGAGTCTCATGCTGGAGGAGGCGGGGGGAAGCAACTGAAAATTAATTTCTTAATTAACTTCTTCATTCTGGCTATAATTATGATCCGATCTGATTCAGATTCAGATCTGGTAGATATGGGCATTATCTACGATACTGCGTTTTTAGTTTTATCGCCTGCCTGCCACAGATTTTCGTCCTTTGTGTGGACGGAGGAGGGCGGGGCGAAATTTTGAAATACACTTGTAGCAGTGTGATATCACATGAGTCTGGTTACCCTAACATGGTTTTGGTTACCCTAACTCTTATAGTCTCTGAGATCCAGGTGCTCAGCCATGTCTGTCTGGACGGACGGACGCCGTCCCTCTTGTTGAGTCGAGTCGGCTATTGATGCTGATCAAGAATATATATACTTTATGGGGTCGGAAACGTTTCCTTCTCTGCGTTACACACATCCACTTTTACCACAAATCTAGGGGTATCCCTTAACTCTTTTTTGAGTACGGGTATAAAAATGGACTTGGGGTTGACACTTATCTTTAGGGAAGCTATCTCTCTGTCATAAGGTACCTGTAATGGCAATATCCGGTGGTCTGGGAGGTCTATTTACTGCTGGTATCGGTATGGACGACATAGCTGGTGAGTTCGGCGCGGATTCGACGGTAATGGACGCTAAAGACGTTATACCCCCATATGCCCGGTATGGGGTATAAAAAGACACTATGAAAAATCACAGAATCAAAAGTTGTGAAACATTACAGTAGCTCACACATTTTTCCTCGTCGTGTGAATTGCTACTACGTAATAAGTAATACTAAAAGATTAAAGGTACGACATCAGCAATAACTACAGAAGCACACAACCATCATGGTGAATTTGGCTGTGTCACGTATAAAGCAAGAATTTAAGGAAGTTATGCGCAGCGAGGAGGTAAGTGGAGCCGATCAGAATGCGAGTCCATGCGATGGCCGAAGGCTTACGCGTATGTATGTTGGTTCCCTTTTTGGCTCCCGATAGTGCTATGGATCCTTGGGGCTGTTGATTGTTGAACAGAACTTGGGGATCTCCGCCGAGTGTGGAGAAGCTACATCTACAGATACTGCCCTTCTAATTCCCTGTAATTTTATCTGACAGATCGAACAGTGTCCTATTAAAATCGAGCTTGTCAATGACAGTTGGACTAATCTCCGGGGCCAAATAGCAGGCTCTCTGGGCACACCATACGAAGGGGGAAAGTTTCTTCTGGAAATTAATGTGCCTGAGACATATCCCTTCACTCCGTCAAAGGTGGGTATCCCTAAAGCAGCTCTGAACCACAGGTAGATGACTTAAGCAGCTGCGTCTTGTCAGCAGGTTCGTTTTATCACGCGCATTTGGCACCCAAATCTTTGTGCTGACACTGGCGCCATTTGCCTGGACATACTCAAGCAAAACTTGTCAGCGGCAATGACGTTGCGTACTGTGTGTCTGTCCGTGCAGGCCTTGCTGGCAGCTGCCGAGCCCGATGATCCGTTGGCCAAAGAGGTGGCACACCAATTTAAGGAACACTACGACATGTTTCGGCTTACTGCAAAGCACTGGACTAACGCCTATGCAGGTGGTCCCCTTAACATTCCAGACTGTGATGCAAGTATACAACGTCTCAGGGACATGGGTGTCGACGAGCATGAAGCGCGCCGCGTCCTCTCTGTCGAAAATTGGAACTTGAAAAATGCCACCGAGAGTGCCTGCTAGATTTGGATGCTAAGACCACAGTAGTAGCGCACCAACAAGAGCCAAACAGCTCCCGAAAAGTATCACTAAATTCAAGCCGTGCTTACCACTTACGCAAAATTCTATATTTGTCGACCAGACTTAACACGAACCGAACAGACAGCAGAAGGGCGTGCTCCCACGCTGATACTGGTGCAGGAGGAGCCACAAGACCGACATTCAATTTCCCAAATTTACTCTACTTGAGTTATTCAAACACCATTCTACGCATGAGCCCTTCATGATCACTTATTAAATCGTTTCTGTTTTGTTTTTTTTTTGTTTCCTGCTACAGGTTGAGCCCTAGGCACTCCGCAATCCTCTCAATCATGCGTGATTAGTTCAGCAGCTCTACCGGTGCAATAGAGCTGTTAGCACCCCAGGGATGGGGCCTGTCCCGCTGCTCTCCGCTAACAGCCTGTGGCCGCTCTCGCTATCGCCCTCTCTCTGCTCACTCTTTTACGATCCACTCGGTTTTTGAGCACCGCTCTTAGCTTGTAAGCTAGCACTTACTAGTAATGGCGCTAACATCGCCGCTCGAACCGGTCGTAAGTCCTTTACGTGTGAAACATACGAATAAATATGTACATGTGTACGAAATCGCCTGGAACTTTACTTCGTTATTCCTGCGTCTACTCTACGGACGAACTAATCTTCGGACCCTACAAACAATGTGTCCCTGAACTTGGGCCCACCTTTCATATTGGATTTGTCTACGTGCCGTCGCATTAATAGTCTGCAATAGTCTGTTCTCCAACTCTTTTCTTTCAACCCTAAAAGGTTGATTACAAAGATTTAAGAAACATGTAACTATGTAAATTGCGTTAGGTTTACCCAATGCTAATATTCAGTGCCTCGGAAGATAAATCTCTTTTTGGATCCGAGTCATAGGAGTCACTCCGATGAATGTGATTTTCATTATGCATCCGAAAGCTTCGATTGCTGCCAAACCCAGATCCTCAAAGAAAGGAACACTTCCATACATATATATGTAAGGATGAAATTCCAACTTTTCTCGGTCATAATTTGTGTGATTTTATTTCACGAATGGGTAAGTACACCTGGAAAACTATTATTGCTGTGATAATTTAAAAATTGTGACCATAAAATTCCCTCTACCTGTGAATACAACTTCGCACATGTCATCTGGGATTGAATATGGCATTACCTTGCGTATTGCATTCTGCGAAATGGAGATTTTTTTGAAGACAGCACGCCAGCCAAGGAGATTAAAAAAAATCAAATAAAGATCTGGGAACACAAACTATAGTATCCAAAGACTGTGTCGCCGCAAAAACCGGTCGCCATGACTTTATTGGCTAAGAACCCCACCTTGTCCTTCTTTGGGGCAAAATCACCCTGATAAATCCACGGCACATCGTAAAACTTTAATTAAAAATTATTGCTTACAAATTGGAGAGATGTCGTTTCCCACGAAACGAGAAACAAGGATTACAAGAATTAAAGGTATATGGCATTACGGGTAAGATATCTCGAACGAGGCAAAACGAGGATGTTTTAAAATCCACTAGATCTACCCCCACCCTATTTGTGTCATATCTATAATTGTAAACAAAGTTGCATCTGCAAAGCATTTAGGTATCTATGCTCTGTTTGTGAATGTAGTACATGTACATACATATGTATATATTTGTATGCTTATGATCTTCGTCTAATGCAATGCCTAACATTTTAAGTCGCATTTTAGCCAGCTTACCATAGAGTAGAAACATGTACATAGGTACATAATATTCGAATCAAATAGACAAATTAAAGCGCACAATCACTACTTGTTTTTCATTTCGACATATTCACTTCTCTGAACAACCTTGAACCACGAGTTTTCAAACCAGCTGGGACCCATTAACGGACTGAGGTGGTGATTCATGATGACTCGTCTGCCATTACGCCAATCGCCTCAAGTGTCGCATTGGGCATGAGCTGAACAATGTCCCTCGCAAGACTCCAGAGCTCATAGTGGACCACCGTAATGATGGTGGCTAGAGTTCCCAGCTTAAATAGGTTGATCTGTTGCTCGCGCCACTCTCGTCGAGCAAACCCCGAGTTGTAGGCAAACCATTGACTGCAGACCGAGCAAAGAAAGCCCAAAAGACCGAAAATGCGGTGCGACAATTGGAGGGCAAGATTGCTGATCCCAAGCAGGGCCAAACCCGATAAAAGACAGCCTAAGGTTAGGAGAAGACTCATCAGGCCGCAGAATCCATGCTTGGTCAAACAGTGTTCGATGCAGTTGCACGACGTGTGTCCATGCCGTCGCTTCAGCTCGCACCACTGCCGAAACTTGGGCAGCACCCCAATGCATCCGCTCCAGAACCCCAGCAGGCCTAGAGCGCTGTGCATCAGATCCAGACTGGGCATCCCAATCGTTCGGACCAGCCACCAGCTGTGTCTAATCAGCAGTGCCTCGCCAGCGGCTAGAAAAAGTCCCAGGATGCAGTAAAAAGCGTGCTCCGCTGTTCCAGTGAGGCCGCGTATCAGGCATTTCCTTGCGATGGCTACAGCGATTCCAATAAGGAAAGCTTGAGCCGCAGTCTCTACCATAATGCTGTATAACTCTCCGTCGAAGGTGGCAACCATAAAGTCCCAGGCAAACTCATCAACAACGATGTTGCCCAATGTTGAATTTTCCTTGGGGGAGACTTCTTTCCGTCTCTCGGTCATTGTGGATATCTCACGTTCGTTGTCATGATATGAGATTTGTGATTAAATATTTCAATGTTCAGGGGGACGTTTGGTGTATGTCTCCTAGCTAGGTGGGGTTTGCTTTTTTAAATAAGTTCGTGTAAATGTACAAAAGTAACATCCAGAAGGAAGAGTGTCCGGTCCAATAAAGTACATACTCGTGTATTTGTATTTTTGATCAGCATCAGCATAGCTGAGTCAATATGTCTGTCTTTATGTTCATCTTTCCGACCGTCTTGATGAGCTCCTAGATCTCAGGGACTACAGGAGCTAGAGAAACCAAATTTTGTATACAGAATACAGAATCTTCTGATTCCACACTGCTCCAATTTTATTTCAAAATTTCAAATCTATCAAGGTGCGAACATCAACGCAGGATTATTCGCCTCTGAGCGACCTAAGCTTGTAAGCTAAAGCAATGATTGAACCCACATTGTAAGCAGCCGTGAATATCCAGCGAAATACCGAATTATACAGATTATATACCCATGTATCGCACCCCGACTGTTTCCTCGTACTCATCCGCCTACATCAAACAACTACAACCCCCTCCATACATACGTATGTTTACATTAAATGGCTATACCTCAAGATATATATATGTATCAAGCTTCAGTTTAAGTTTTTTAACATTTTATACGTTCCTTCAGCTTTGGCATCGTTTCCTTGAACGCTTCCTTCTGGTTGTTACATATGTACATCTTCACCCCCATATTCTTTGAGGGCCGGGCATAAAAACGAGCAAATAATTCTAGTATTAATAAAACACGAAAATTCCATTTGTCCCTGTAGTCATAAGCCCTGGCGCTGTCGCAGAGTCCCCAAACCGGCCCATACCTCTTCACCTCTTCCCGCTCTCAGTCCACCTGATGACTTTGTGTGTGTGCTTGTATTTCCATTTGTTTCGGCGCGGGTGTGAAGCTCAGCTTTAACTTGAATTCCCGAATTCCAATTTCCCTTGTCTACATACATATCTCTCTTAAAGGATTCGATATGCAGCAGAGTTAAATGGGGATTTTAAGAGAGATGGGACGAGGCATCGTATTGCTTATTTTTTGACCCATAATAAATCAATGACATACACGGCTTATGGCCGAACAGTCCCACGCAGAAAATATTCACCGAACTGCATCCATTTAGACAACGTTCTTGCTCCCAACTGCTTCCATTCAATCAGCTGCTCCACTCGAGACAGACTCGCCGAAAGGGGTCGAAGAGTTAAGGGTGTATTAGATTTCAGGTCGAAAAGGATGTGTGTAACGCAGAGAAGGACACGTTTGAGTCGATATAGCCATGTCTGTCTGTCCGTCCGCCTGTCCATCGCGATAAACGCCTAATCTCAGAGACTTTAAAAGATAGAGCAACCAAATTTTCGAAAATAACGGCATCTCCCAGATTGTCGAATCAGATCGGATCAATATTATATTACAGCCAAAATGAATAAATTAATTTTCAGTAGCTAAGATACCCCTTCCAGCGCTGTTAGCGCACAGTCTCTTCTGCTCACACACTCTGCCTCGTGCAGTGTGCGCCCTCTGGGGAAGGTTTAAGAAGAGAGATTTAGATGTAGATGAGCGATGTAGCAAAAAAATATAAACAGGTAAAATATTTAAAAATTCCACATAAATCATAAGCTCACATATATACTAACTGAGTACGCGTATAAAAGTAGAGTCGCGGCAACTGAAGCGACTCACAACGTTCCTTCTAGTTTGTTTCTTTCTTTTTGTTGGAATGCACCAAAAAATTCCAAAAGCGAGCACAACGCTGATTTTTAGGATAAATCTGCTAACGGACGTGGATGAGTTCATCCAGGCCATCATCCAGGCCTACAACATGCATATATGTACATAAATACATTTATTAAGAATCAGATCACAGATTTCGACAGCTTTAAGTGTAGCGCTTAGATCAGCTAGATCATTTTTTTTTGTGGTGCCCTCTATGGGGCATGATGGTAGAGCTCCGGCAGAAGAACACGCCATCTGGGCCTCAGGTTTGCGGGTCAAAGGAAAGGGCAGAAAAAGGCAGGGATAGCTTAACAGACGGAAATGTCAAGCAGAATTTCATCTTTTTAGAAGGCTTAAGGGTTCCCGCTGATTTCGCAGCGTGGCTTCGGTCTTCTCATTTTTCGACGTTCGACCTGGACAGGTGGCTGCAGCAGAATCAATTTTATTTGCAAGTGCTTCAAAAGTAAACAAAAGTAATAGTGAACAAAAGGAAACTATCCAGCAGCGAGAGGGAAGAAAAATTGGAATTATAAAGCGCCAATTCCCAGCAGAGGTAAGCCCGGGGACTTTTCGTCCCGCATGGGGTGCGGCCTTGGAGCAGCTCGAGCTGCGAAGGAAGAGCGAAAAGAGAAGATCGGCCATTCGCGAGTATTAGAGGCTCATCTGGGGACAACGAGTCTCAAGAGGAGTCGCTGGAGGAGATACAACCTCAACGCAGAGACCCAAAAAGGGGTCCAGGAAAATTGGATGCAGCAACAGCCTAAAAATTTTTGTTTAATGCCTTATTAGTAAAAAGCAGGCGAAGAGCACGACGAGCGCAGCGTCGTTTTGGTGCTTTCCCCAGTTTTGGTTTAAGTAGTAGAAAGGGTAGCAGCAAATTAGCCGGAACAGGGCGGTCTGTATGCTGCGTGTTGGGTTTTATTACTAACAAATGTATACTTCAGGATTTCTTATAATGTATATTCATGGTGAAGTTAAGGTAAGGTTCGGGTCGCGAAATATGGTATAGGAACATGGTTAATATAGATATTCATTAATTAAACTCAACTACATCCTCGGCCTTGTCAAAGACTGATTTTATCTCTAGCGCATACAACAGTTGAATCGGTCGTCGCAAAATTGTTTGATTCTTCAATCTCACGTCGCATGCTCTAGCTCGCCCATCTCGTCCGATGTACCTCGCAGATATCACTCCCAATTTCCAGAGTAACCGAGGTTGATGATCATGTTGCACAAGAACTACGTCGCCTTCGTTTAGGATGTCGCTGCTATGTTACTCCAATCGGATTTGAAGTTTTCGCAGTTTAACACTCGGGAATCTCCCAAGAAGTGCGCAGGTTTAAGAGGTTCCAAATCTCGTGAGTCGCTGCTTGCGTATGTAAGTGGCCTTTGGTTCACTACGCTATCCACTTCGACGAGTAATGTTTGAAGTTCTTCTGTATTCAATTTGGCTCTCCCAATCGTGGACTTTAAACAATCTTTTATTGTGCGTACAAGACGCTCCCAAAATCCGCCCCACCTGGCTGCTCGCTCGGGTATGAATTTCTATTTTATTCCGTTTTCCGCTGCAAATCATTGTAATCGATTTGATTCCAATAGATTTTCTAATTTCTGTAATTCCAGACTCGCTATTTTAAATGTTTTCGCGTTGTCCGATATGATGATTTTGACTTCTCCACGACGAGCGATAAATCGCCTTAGAGCATTCATGGAGGTCTCCACTCTCATGTCCTGAACCAGTTCGAGGTGCACTGCGCGAATTGCTGCGCAAGTGAAAAGCATTATGTATACCTTCTTTGGTGTATCGCTTGGGTTTCCAGTGACATAAAGGGGTCCTGCAAAATCTATTCCTGTTGTTTCAAATACTTTACTTGTGACCAGTCGTTCGACCGGTAAAGTTGTCCATGGCTCGTTAGCCGATTTAGAATCGAGTCTTCTGCAAATAACGCAGCGCTTGATGATACTCTTTATAAGTTAGCACCCTTTGATTATCCAAAATCGCTTTCTTAATTTCGTCAATGTTGCATTTATCCCGCAATGCTTAAGCTGGGTATGCGCGTCTCTTACAAGAAGTTCTGAAAAATATGAGTGTTTTGCCATTGTAATTGAATTACATATTTCCTCAAATTCGCTCTTCAACAAACGACAAGATAGTTTTAGGATTCCGTCGTCCAATATAGGGTTTAGACAAATTAGCTTGGAATTCCCTGGAATGCCGTCACCCTTCTTTAGTGCTGTCATCTCTGCTCCAAATTCTTGCTGATGTATAAATCTGATCCAATAACGTTCCGCTTCTCCAATTTCGTCAGCTGATAGCTCAATGATTTCCTTGTTTGAAGTTGAATTGAAATGCTTCGATTTTGATTTAAGGCATTTTATGAAAGGAAAGACAAATCCTGTTACTCGTAAAATTTTCTTTAGATGTCCGAACCGTTGAATAGGAAATATAGATTCAATTTCCACATTGGTAATGTTTTCTTCTGTCTTCTGGTCTTCCGTGTCTGTTATCCTCGTTGCTGGACAAGTGCTGCTACAATCCGATAGCCATGGTGGTCCATGTCTCCACAGCTCTGAGGTCATAAACTTCTTAGCTGATATTCCTCGGGTCAACAAATCAGCTGGAATGCACTTGCCTTCGCAATGATGCCAATCGTATACATTAGTTAATTTGTTGATCTCGCTTACTCTTGCCTTGATATACGGCTTTGTCTGTTTTCCACCGCCGACGATCCAATTCAGAGCAATACTGGAATCAGACCACATGTATTTATTAGCAATTTTAAGATTCAGTTCTGATATTAGATACTTAGCCAATCTGGATGCAACTAATGCAGCTGTCAACTCGAGCCTAGGTAGGCTAAGCACCTTTCCATTCTCCTCCTCTTCCTTCTTTTTTAAAGGACTTACTCTGTTTTTCGAACATATAAGCTCGTCTTTATATTTCCATCGCGATCAATTTGTCTGACATATGCCACCGCTCCATACGCTGATTGACTGGCGTCTGCAAATACGTGCATTTCCAGCTCTGATACGCTGCCGCTTGTTAAACATCGTTGCACTGCAAACTCCTGAAGGTTTGCGATGTCTAGCTGCCACGCTATAAAATCTCGTGCTAATTCATCTGGCAATAGGACGTCCCAATCCAGATGCTCTCTCCAAATTTTTATACCCGTACTCAAAAAAGAGTTAAGGGGTATATTGTATTTGTGGTAAAAGTAAAAGTCCGTCTTGATGAGCGCCTAGATCTCAGAGACTATAAGAGCTAGGGCAACCAAATTTGGTTTCCAGACTCACGTGATATCACACTGCTACAAGTGTATTTCAAAATTTCGCCCCGCCC